TTCATACACTCGCACTTCAGAAATATATGATCACAAGGCCAATAGCAAATCTTAATGAGGACGCATTTTCACATTTCAAGAGAGTGTTGGTCATTCAAATTGTCTCGCTCAATCTTCAACAACAACAGTAATCAGTTTTACAGTTACTGTAATTGGAAGTACAATAATCACATTAGCAGCAGAAAAGCAGGCTTGCTTTCAGGTTAAGAAAACAAGGCACAATATAATCATTCTGAACGTGATCCAACACTCATTATGAATTGTTATGTCAAAGAATTCTTATCTGTGTGTTTAATACTGCACATATCAGCACTGAACCAAATGGCAATGTGATAGTTTGGGGACTGTACAGTCTCTGTAGAACATAAGGTAATGAGATGCTATGAGAGTAGTTACAAACAGCACAGTGATAAAATATGCCTGTAAGGTATAACTTTATCATTACATATGTAAATTTTACCACATTTAGTAGAATGCACGTTGGGAAAACAAAAATCACACCTTGTGTTTAGCTGTGACATTTGCTAAATTAATGTGTCACAATCTTAGCACTTGGCACCACTTTCTCCCATGATAAGACTGTCTGGGAGGTCTGCAAAAGCTGCGACTCAGCTCTTCAGCCAAAACATACACCATGTGTATTCCTGCAAAAACCAGACACATCAATTCTTTGGTTTCTCATGATATTTAGTCCTCATCGTGATAAGATTGCTTCTGGACAGGAATCTCCTCACGATACTTCTTTCTTCCAGAGCAGTTCTAGGGCCATCATGTGCTTATGCAGATTCTCCCCTACCAAGGCTAATTCTCAACTCCAAATCCATCACAGCTCTGACAAGAAGTCTGTAGCTTTCTCATGAAATTACTAAATTTCTCACCTGGTTCCTGGCCAGTTTATCTCTTAGTAAGAGATCTTTTCTATGGATTTAATAGTCCTCTCTAGACCCCAGAATAGAGAGGCTTCTTATTAAGATCTTTGAACAATCGATCCTCTTTCTGTCAAGCCATTCAAACTCTTTTTCTTGGCAAGTTTTTCCTTTCCTCTTGTTCTCCATTACCAGCTTTCATTCCCCCTCACAAAACCCACAAGTCACCACAAAAACGACATTCAGTTGGACATTTGCATAGACCTCCAACGGGGTTTCTCAGCCTCAATACTCCTTCCGCCCCTTTCAGCAACATAGACCTCTCCATTAGGCCTACAGGCTTATACCTGCCTCAAAAACAAGATAATGAGGATTACTGTAATTTTAATCTTGAAGCTAAACAGTCAACTGCTGCTGTGGTGTAACCTGGCAGCAGCTCACACCACACAGCCATTTGTTCACTGCCTCACCTCTGGACGAGGGAGAGAACTGGAAACAAAATAGAACTCATGGGGTGAAATAAGAGCCAATTACTAAGACTGAAGGGGAAAATAGAAACAAAAATGCAATAACAGTATGCAGCCACATAGCACTTCCTTACCACTGGCTGACCAACGCGCAGCACCAAAATGACACCCTGCAGTAACACAAGGACTCACCCCCCTGACCAACTCACAGCACCCCAAGCAGCAGCCAGCCCTGTCCCACTGCCTGCAGCTTTATACTCCATGTGGTGCCACGTGGTATGGAATGACCCCGGCCTCATTAGATGATCAGAGGGCTGGAGCACCTCTCCATTGAGGAAAGGTTGAGAAAATTGGGCTTGTTTAGCTTGGAGAAGAGAAGGCACTGTCCGGGGCAACCTCATTGTGGTCATCCAATACCTGAAGGGAGTGTATAAACAGGAGGGGCAATGACTGTTTACGAGGGTGGATAGTGACAGGACAAGGGGGAATGGCCTTAAACTGAGAGAGGGGAGGTTAGATATTAGGAATAAGTTTTTCACTTAGAGGTTGGTGACAGATTGGAACAGACTGCCCAAGGAGGTAAATCTCCATCCCTGGAGGCATTCAAAGCCACGCTGGATGTGGCTCTGGACAGCCTGGTATAGCGGCTGGCAGCCCTGCACACAGCAGGAAGTTTGAAACCAGATGACCACTGTGGTGGTTTTCAACCCAGGCCATTCTATAATTCTGTGATTCTATGTATCTGTACTGGCCTCACCCTGCCCCTCCCTGCACCATCAAGGTGACAGCACTGCCACCAAGCAGCTCGAGTGCGTTCCCATCACAGCAAGAATCAAAATAGCATTGTACAATTAACGTTCTTTGGGCTGAAACCAGGACAGATGTGCACATCTAGTGTTTGGCATTGACACGTTCATTTCTCCCCTTTAAATCAGTTCCTGAATCAACCAAAATATCTAACAGCGGTTCTTCTAGACTAAACAACACAACTTACATTGAGTAGCTTGGGGTTTTGCTTTCACCTCACCTTTGAATACATGCGGTGTTACCATACATATTCACAGCCCGTTCAGGAAATATTCCCTTTCAGTTTTTGCACGCTTTTACACTTGGAACCAAGTACTATTTTTTTAATTACTGTAATTACTTTAATTTTTTGTTATATTAGGACAGGTAATTCTCATTCAATATAATGTCTGACCAGAATTCCTAGAAATACTAGATCAGAACCTATTGAACCTGCCTCCTATATATTGCGTTCAAGAAATCAGTGCTTTACTTTTCTGTTATTCTTTTGGGGATTTTGTTTGTTTTCTCCCCATGGGAGAAATCATGTTAATCAGACCTCCACATCTCACCTTAAAAATAGGCCGTCTCATTCTATTGTATTATCTATGAGTGGGGGAATTGAGTGTTTTGTTTTTTGAGTTTTTGAGTGAGGGGGAATTAAATAAGAAAAGATAACTTTATCATAGGCTGGATGGTTTACCTAGCTGGCTAGATTATTTGACTTTTTGCCATCAGCAAAAAAAATTCTGAAACTGTGCAAGTGACCTTTCCTGGACAGCTATGCTGGTCATTTTTGTAAAATAAATGTTCCAACCTCCACAAATCATGGCTATCTCCCCTGAGTTTACTAGAATTTAAATTGAATCACCTATAAATCCTAGTTTCAATGGTTTATTAAACGTTTTCACTCACTGTTACTAGGCCTTCTGCCCATTTCTTTTGGGTAACAAAAACAGAAGTCCCTGCTTAATTTTTTTTTACTGTCCATAAGGTGCTGAAGAAATATCCGTCTTTGCTGGAGACACTCCTAGCAATAACATTAATGACTAGGTAATAAGTAGGCAAACAGTCAAAGGGTAACAGTGTGTGCCTCCATTCAAGCTGCAGATCTAACTGAAGAGATGTCATCACAGAGACCAGAAAAGAGTTACAGCAAAAATTTAAACAGGCTCATGGACATGCAGCAAAATATTTTTACTTACATTTAACCATCAAAATCATGGTGTAATCTCATTACCCCAACATTATGTCAATAAAGAAATACTGTTAAGAGCTCTTCATGCAATACCTGTAACAGCATGAAACGGAGATGGGAGTAGAGACATAACAGGAAACAATAAGAAGAACAAATCTTGTGTTCTAAAAGAGATAAGAAAGGTACCTCACCTAAGAGAGGCTGAAGGAGCTGGGAATGTTCAGCCTGGAGAAGAGGAGGCTCAGGGGAGACCTCATTGCTCTCTATAACTTCCTGAAGGGAGGTTGTAGTGAGCTGGGGGTCGGCCTCTTCTCTCATGTCATCAGTGATAGGACCAGGGGGAATGGCTTCAAGCTACGGCAGGGGAGATTCAGGCTGGACATTAGGAAGTATTACTTTTCAGAAAGGGTGGTCAGGCACTGGAACGGACTGCCCAGGGAGGTGGTGGAGTCACCGACCCTGGGGGTGTTCAAGGAAAGGCTGGATGTTGTGTTGAGGGACATGGTTTAGTGGGAGCTATTGGGAATAGGTGAACGGTTGGACTGGGTGATCTTTTAGGTCTTTTCCAACCTTGGTGATTCTATGATTCTATGATTCTAATAACCCTTACAGTGATTTTTGAAGGTAAGATAAAAATGAGCAAGTTGAAATACTAGCACGTATTTTTGACCTTAGTATTAATTTAACACAAGACTGTAGACTGATGTTTGGTAAGGATTGATATCCCAATGAGTAGCTATAAAGCAGCAATCCCTAATTTAAAAAAAAAATTTCCTTCACTCTAAGCTGTACAGACTTTGATGAAAATGCAATTTGCAGCAGAATAATAAACTCCAAACTCTATTATGCAGTGCTGAGACAAAAATCAGGCTAAAAGTTTCCCATCAGTAGAAAGAAAATAAAACTCAGATTTGATATCACTGTAGAAGCACTTCATCTTGCACCAGTGAGAATCAAGAATGCTCATCTTTTCATCGATTTACTTCTAAAAGTAATGCAGAAAACAATAAATAATTGTATCGCATCTGATTTCTTTTAAGATTTTGTGATTATTACTCTTTTGTATTTTATACCTCTGCCTCAATTGGCTCTGATGATGCCCACTTAATATCTGGCTCCATCTTCTTGGTATCAGTTGCTATTCCTAAGATCCAGATGAGGGTTCTACTGTGGAGCACTACTGACAGTTCAAAAAGTTTTACATAAAGCACGGAGCACTATTCTTCTAAATAGGTGATTAAAGAGGAATGAGAACTTACAGATGCTGATCTTACCCACAATTGTTCAAGACTAAGCTCCTGATGAAAAGAATAAAATGATTTTTAAGTTAGCAGAAGAGATGACTTTTCCTTTCCTACAGGTATCCACAAATCAGAGGGAAAGAAAATACATTACAGAAAGCATACCAGAATCCTAAACATTAATGAAAAACTAAATGTGCCAAAGCAAACGCATCATTTTATAATTTTCCTAAAATCACTTCTTTTTCAAAGAAATGTAAAACTGTACTACAGAAAAGTATAAATTTATTTCACTTAGAATACTTGCATATTGACAAGATACTACTAATTTCAAACTTTTGATAAAATCACTCCATTTTTTACATCTAAAAAAGAGACAGAACTAACTAAAAATTGTTGCATCATTTCTCAGATAAAGAAACACAGATCTGATAATACTCACTTCCGAATTTTTCAGATCTTTCTTTCTTGTCTGTAGTAACTCTCCACATACTTTTGCTTCCTGCTTTAACCTTTTTTCATATTCTGCTAGATCATCTTGGAAATGATTAAATACTGTCTGGACATTTTGCTGCTTAAACATCACACCACTTAGATTTTTCCTTTAAAAGAAAAAAATAAATTCAATGAAGCAATCACGAGATTATCCTACACTGTTTTTCATTCTTTACATACAGGTTTAATTTTAAATTTTATAACAGATAAAATGGGCAGTCCTCTTCCTAATAATTGTACCATTTTAAAAATACAGAGCAATATGATTGATCTTATCCATGAATATGTGGAGCACTTATGAGTCTATCAAGAAATACAAATTTCTCAATTTTCATAACAACTTGCATTTTTAAAAATAACCTTCTAGAGAATGGACTGGTTTACTACTAGATGTGAAACATTTGCTGAAATAATTATATTCTGAGACACAGAATGAGCTCATGTCACACTGGGTAAACAGTATTTTATTATTTGTTGAGACAGAAAAAGGAAGCTTCACATCATTTGTACATACATGTCTTTATTTTTTTTATTTATTTATTTTGTCTCTGTCCTTACCTAGCATGGTCTTTTTTCAATCAAAGACTTTCTACAGAACAAGATTTCTGCAGAAAACTGAAACATCTAAGACATGGATGTCCAGCTATCTAGCTTGCCTGGGCTGCACTGAATGAAGATGAATTGCCTTAGGCAGTATACAAAATATATAAAATAATTAATGTATATAAGTAATAACACTTCCTCTCATTTTTCTTAAATATTTTTTTTTCTTAAAACCTACAAAAAGAGTGGGCAAGAGAAACATAAGGAAGTGTGCTTCTCACAAAACCTTCAGCTCACAGGATATGGTCATCATCCTTCTAATTTTATTGGCACCAAACTTCAATGAGATTTTTTTAAAAAATGTGGAATTAATATATTTAATGTTCATTCTTAATTTCATGACACGAGGACATGTCTTTATCTACTCCAAGAGTGCAAACATAATTTTTCCAAAGCCAATGGTATAAAGAACTTTCCAGGTGGGATACTTGTGATGGGATCTTTTTCAGTTTTGCAGACAAATATGTTAATTAAAAAAAAAAATAATAATAATTTTATTATTATATTGAAAACATTGTGTCAATATTTCTTTTCTATTTCATGCCAGTAGATGTTATTTAGTCCTTTTATTGCATTGCTGGTAAATAATAATAAGTGAAGGAAGGGTTGTTCTTCAGAAGAAAATGTTAGGAAGTTAACTATAAAAGGATAACGATAAAGATGGACAGCAAAAGTAGGGGCTGTTTTACCTCAGATCCAGCAGATTAGGCTAGCCAGCATGGCCCCCCCCCCCCCCAAAAAAAAAAAAAAAAAAAGGAAAAATAGCCAAGAGCAAAACCAGAAGCAGTCCTTCAATATCAGTTTTTCTGTGAAGGCAGGAATCAGCACTCTTATGAAGACTAACACAAAATATAACAAGAAATGGCTAAACAAAACTTACTTAAAACAACCTGACAAAATACCAAGTGACATATCAGTCAAAACAAAATTAATAGAATAAAGTAGAACAGCCTGAAAAAAAAAAAAAAAAAAGTCTTCTGAATATTTTTACCATTAATACTCACTGGTAACCTGGATGAAGAGATACAGTGTACCCTCAGCAAATTTGCTGATGATACAAAGCTGGGAGAACTGACTGATACACCACAAGGATGAGCTGCAATTCAGCAAGACCTAGACAGACTGGAGAGTTGGTGGAAAGGGACATTCTGAGGTTCAACAAGGGCAAGCATAGATTCCTGCACCTGGGGAGGAATAACTTCATGCATCAGAACAGGTTAGGAGATGATCAGCTGGAAATGAGCTTTACAGAGAAGGGCTTGATTGTGCTGGTGGACAGCAGGTTGGCCATGAGTCAGCAGCGTGCCCTTGTGACAAAGAAGACCAATGGGATCCTGAGGTGCATAAACAAGAGGGTAGCCAGCAAGGAACATGATCATACTCCTCTACTCTGCCCTGGTGAGGCCACATCTGGAGTACTGTAACCAATTCTGGAATCCTTAATTCAAGAAAGACAGGGAACTTCTAGAGAGTCCAGCAGAGGGCCACAAAGATGATGAGGGGCCTGGAGCACTTCCCTTATGAGGAAAGGCTGAAGGACCTGGGATTGCTCAGCCTGGAGAAGAGGGACTGAGAGGGGATCTTACCAATGCTTATAAATATCTAAAAGGCATGTGCTAAAGTGTATGGGGCTAGACTCTTTTCAGTGCTGCCCAGCAACATGGCAAGAGGCAACGTAGACAAACTGAAACACAGGAAATTCCTTCTCAACATGAGAAAACTTCTTTGCTTTGAGGATGACACAGCATTGGAACAGGCTGCTTATAGAGGTTACAGTCTCCTTCTCCGGAGATATTCAAAATCCACAAGGATGCTTGCCAATGTAACATACTCTAGGGAACGTGCTTTAGAAGGGCATTGTACTAGATGATCTTCATAGGCCCCTTCCAACCTCAGTAAGTCTGTAATTCTGTTCCACAAATTCAGTTAAAAATCTATATATAGTATCACTTTTTTTTTTTTTCCAGACAAGAATTTAATGCAATAATCTCTCAAAGATCTTTCAACATTGATAGTATATTTAGTGAATAAGATGACAGACAGCAAAGTGCATTACAATGACACCAGGAATTTTTTTTCATTATTTAGCTATTCTGCACTACTCAACAATCCAAGCTGTTTTCCATTTGACACTGCATAGCAGGTTCACCTTTCTCCTTGAAGAGTAAGCCTGCTGTGCAATCAGCATATATGGCCCTCCAAGGCTTCAGTGGCCTAGAAGGCAGTCTCCATAATCAGTTAGATAGAGCCCTTTGAGACTATTTTCAGGACTCATCAGTCACAGTAAATGTTGATCCAACCTTCTTAAAACAGAGAGAACACAGAATGAGAGGAATCCACCATTAATTAAAGATGCAACTGACCATGAATATTATTAGATTTCCAGAAGTAATATTGATACCCAAAATTCAGTTTGGTAGGTAGACATTGTGTAATGAATAACTTCTACAAATGCATTACAACTACAGTCAGTAAACACACAAAAATACTTTCAAATTATTGAGGAAAAGTGCATTACATTTCCTAGGAATAACTCTGTAAAACAATAAAACTACCTGTAGAAATAGAAATAAAGTAAAATTACTAAATTACTTTTACAAAAGCAATAAAATACCTTTACAGCTTCACGTAACAGGCAGGTCTTACCGTAAATCGATTAACAGTTTTTCTGCACCTTCCATCTGTGTTTGCTTCATATTCCATAATTCAGCGAGTTCCTTAAGTTCATTTTTTAAATTTTCCACAGTGAGACAGTTTTCATCAATTTGACTAGAAAAAAATGATTGTTTTTCCTGGAAATTAAAAAAGCATATAGTATATAAACTAGGAGGGCAAGATTTCCCAGTGCTGTATTTTAAGAATATGATAACGGGCATCAAATCATAAACTGTATACTCAAAGAAACAGAACTGCTTCTAGAGGGGCAGTTGAAGTACTTAGTGAAACAGAATAATTGCTTTTCTATTAGAGCATGATTTTGCCCATCTAGTTACAGCCCATCAACTTGTTGCACATCTACCGTATAACCATACATTTTATTATGACACAATTTCTGCAGTCACTTATATTGTACATGTATGTTTGTAAGTTTGTAGATCACCCTCATAAAAATACATAACATACATATCCTCTTTAATTTTTGCTCTTTTACATAGAAGTCTTTCAGATAAGCCTTGCACAGCAACAACTTTATTAATGACAATGAAAAGGAGCAATTTTCACATCTGACCAAGCCTGGGTCTGTTTATTTCAGTGCAGGCAGTGTCTTAACTGGCCATTTTTACTGCTAGATCATCAAATTGCTTACATGCTGCAAAACTGTCTCAGGCAAATACCTGAAAAACTGATCTTTAAAGAAAAAAAACAAATTTTCAGATGGCACCAACTCCAGGCAGAATGTAGCGTAGTCATTATCTCTGAAAACTGCCATTATTCACTTAATTGCCTAAATTGAGAGCTTTCTTCTTTTAGATATTGACCTTTTGTCATAACAGAGTTACTCTGTACTCCATACTTCGGAGAATATAAGCACAGAGGACAAGACTGCTAAATTCATCTCAAAGTACACAACTTTTCAAAGAGATTCTGATATTAAGCTTTTGAAAAACACCAAGTTAAAAACGAAACTTCCTAACCCACAGAAGAGACATTACACTGCAATATCTTTTTCATTCCAAAAGAGACCAACAGTTATAGGATCAAAAAAAGAGTAAAGATTCATGACAAAAGCAAACAGTACTTCCAATAGCATCAGTATCTAGTAAAAAAAAACACTGCAGCTTCCTCAATAAACAAGGTAAATATAATGCACTGCAGCAGTACAAAAGTATTAAGAAGTTGAGTCTATTAGTTGGGTTATGCTTTTAAAGTAGCTGCATTAGATTTTGTAACCATACTAATGGGCTCTAAGCAGTTACATAAATGGGTTAAATTAAGAGGGAGGAAAATACCTTTTGATTATTCCCATACATACACACATATTCAGATAATTTAAATATGCACCAATTATAAACACTGCATGAAATAAAAAAAATTCAAGACCTTAACATTTAGTAGACAAAGAATATATGTAAATATTTTAATAAAGGTCAGTATATATATATTTTTTAATATACTGTACCATTTTTCTGAGGCAGTACCCTGGTACATAGCCTAATGATCATTTTCCTTATAAAGTAAGTGTTTTGTAAAGGTATAGCTAAAAGGAGGCTGAAAAAAAAAATTGATGAATCAAAGCTTTTATTACAGATAGGAACATAAGCACAGAAGTACATGAGATACCTTAAGACCTCTTGAACTTTCTAAAATGTAATACGTTTTTTTATAGGATAAGGTGGAAATTTCAGGTCTCCTGCAGGAACGTAGAATCATTAGAAGGAAAATGAAGATACGGTAATTAACACAAATCCCCATATAGAATCTCAAATCCCTGTTAGTTTTAGAATCAGAGGAACTTAGGGAAATGTGATAGCCTGTAGTATATGTAATATCAGAGCAGAGGGCTCAGGCCCTAATCTTAAGCAAATAATAAAATTTGAGATGATTGAGGCATCAGAGCGTAGTGTAAATACATACAAAAAGAAGTTGTGACCTGTTCATTCTTTTTTTTTTTTTTTTTTTTCCTAAAGATTCGTATATGAACTATGTTAGAACAAAACTGCCAGTGAAGAAGCATTTTGTCTCTGACATCCTGAGAAGGCAGATAAGAAGTGAAAAGGTTGGCTTCCAAGGCCAGGGAATACTAGCCATTGGGTCAATGCAATCTGGTACCTATTACAGAAGAGAAATAACTTGCAATCAGTTTTTAGAACAGACAAATAAAAACGTTGAGTTATTCTACATTCTGTAATCTAAAAATTGGTAGACTGAACAGCCTCTCCTTAAGGTCTGCTGTAGTAGCTAACAGCCTAGCACCCCTTTCACAAAACTTCAATTGCTGTGCTTAAGGAATACCAACCAAAGCTCTAAGAAGGTAGTACTAAGGGTATCCAAATATCGTTACTAGTTCATTGCTCTGGAGATCTGATAAAATTGGCTTTCTACATTTTTTTGTTTCATTTCCTCAGAACACTACCTGAAGTAGTGGAACAGTTATTTACAGTTACTAAGAAAGGTATTCTTAAAACTGAAGACTAAGAATGATTTGCACTGGAAAACAATGTAGAATTACTGAATATCAATATGCTGATATGTACGTTGACCAGTATGTGACTCATCAGTCACTTCCACATGTTCTGAGGTCTTCTGGTAAACCTGCAGCGTGCTTCATGTTTCACAGAAAGAGATGCATAAACTCTGTCTTTCCTATCAAATTTAGAAGCTTGAATGTACCTGTGAATTCTCCAATCCTTAATTTAAGATTGTCACAAGTAGGAAGTGTCAGATTTTAGGAAGAAATTACCAGGTTCGTGAAAGATATGCTGAACAACATGAAAGCATTTTGTTTTGTTTTTATTTTAATCTATGACTCATTTTTGAGGCTTAGTATCTAATCTAAGGCTTAATCTAATTTAAGTTTATACATATACAAATGAAAGAATAATAAAAATGAACAATATCTTAGAAAGAAGATGCTTTCTTCTTGTAATGCTTACGAACACATTTATATAAAACATAGTGTTCAGTAATGAAATTCAGTCATTCCCTTCAGTGGATTATACAGTTTAGTAACTGATACAGCAGATATAAGCCATCATTTACAAAAAGATGCCATCTGCTGTGCAAACATGCAATTAGCAGGCACTTTCTATCACACCAGTATTGTTTTCATCTCTTATTGATTTTCTCCTTTACATTTCCAAAGCCCCTCAAGCAATCTGAGCCAGTGCAGCAAATGAAGAAAGAAAAGGACTTCTCAGTGACCCCGATATCTACTCTGCTTTGTACTTTACTCTGTTTTAAGGCTACGGACCTCATACATTAGTGCAACTACAAGAGAGAAAAAAAAAAAGCACATGCTATTTACATGTACATAGTTTCAAAGCAACTGTGTAGAAAAGACAGTTTAAGTTTTGAGATAAAATGTACTTCAAAAAGGCCACAAAAACATTATTCACCTGTATAGCATTTAACTGATGTTGCAGAATATTTCTTTTTTGCTTCAGCTGTTGTTCTGTTTGCTTCTGCTTTTTATCTAGCTCTTGTGCTCTCTGATTTAAGTAGGAGAGTTTCTGGAGGGAACATCCACAAAGAGATGTGTTATTATTCAAAACATATTGTCTTACCTTCCAGAGAAATCAGATATTTTAGCTGTAAACTACTTAAGTTACTATTCTTAAGTTTACTTTTGTTTACCCCTCCACACCTTTTTTCTATCAACACAGCATGCTCATTCACATGTTGTGTACTCTATGCTTTGAAGGAAAAAATGCACACATAAAAGAGAAAACATCTTTGGTGCTTCAAACAGTGTTTATCATCACACAACAAAATATCACTGCTCACTCTTCTCCCCAGGCTTCTTTACATTCTTTCTGCCAAGAAAGCTACAAATAAAGTTATCTAACCAAAATGCATACGCATCGGAATAGCTTCCATGGAAGGAATACAAAGGAGAAATGTTTACTATTTCTTATCATTTACTCGTGAAAAATACAGCTAAAGAGAACTAGGAAGAAGAGGAAGAAGATGGAAAATGCAATATTTGTATAATTGATTTTTGTATTTTTCATTCATCCAGTCTGTTATTAATTAGTACCTCAAACAAAACAGTTCTTCTCAATTGTATTAATTTCATTTGCATCATTAGTGTGAGCATCAGATACTAAATGATATAAAGTATTATTAATGCATGTAATAAAAAAAAATTACATCACAAAAGGTACTTAAATAATTGCATAACAACTACGCTATGTTATTCAAAATTTCAAATTCAATTCATCTTATATAACAATAAACATTAAAATCAGTATTAATATTTCCATTCTGAAGCATTTTAAACATTTAATCAATGAGAAAGTTCTTGTTTGGCACTACCAGTACCTCACACATCATTCACATATAAATCTGCTTGGGCAAACTCTGTTTCCAAGCTTCTATTACAGAAGCAAATACACAGCTATGGACAATGACACATAACTTATGCCACACCTCCCCAGGTTTCCAGGAGACTAATGATGTGATCTTTGTCACATTGTTTCCACTTAGTTTTAGCTAGGGAAGGGCTAACACCGTTTGTCACTGCCATTATTGCGCTGTTTTGAAAATACTATTAGCTATTAGAGAAGGGCTTTTTTTCCAATCTGACATATTAAACCTGAACCAAAAACAAACTATCAAATAATTCATTATCTAAATTCAAACTATTCTACATTCTCCAGTCTTCCCCCCAAAGTGTTGAAGTATTGCTATATGTAGGTAATATAAAGAACAATTCATGTAGAGTAACAATAAAAAATAGAGATGATCTCCTGTGGCAAATTATTTACCAGTAGGCAGATAACTGAACCATAAATGATTGCAGAATGATTCTGTAAGAGCTTATGGATGAGGCAACAGAAACTCTTGTGTCTGGCATTGACCAAAAATAAAAAAACAGGTATCTAAACTAAAAAGGCTTGAAAGATGTTAACTGTACTTGATTGAAAGCATGAGCTGTGAGATGTATGGAGATTATGGAAAAGCAATAGTTTTGTTGGGTGTTGATTTTGAAACAAAAATGAAGGTATTTTGCTTTTTCTGAACGGGAACAACGGACAAGTGAAAATTTTCTCCTCTTTCAGACACTTAAGAGATAAACCTTTCCTTCAAACTGATTATTTTCAGTTCAGGTATATAAAATATTTATTTCCTTTGACAGAAAAAAAACCCAACAGCCAAGAAATAGGAGTGCACATAGGGGGTGTGTGTGGAGGGAAATTTCAGGTAATTTTCCCTACGCTGAAAAACTGCTTGCTTTAGTGAGCAGTTTAGTGAGCACTGGCCTAGTGGAAGGTGTCACTGCCCACAGCAGAGGGGTAGAAACAAGCTGATCAAGGTCCTTTCCAAACCACTATTCAATGGTCCTATGACTTCATGGTGGCATACAGAACAAAGGCTTTGTAAGGCAAAGCTTAATTGAAGCATAATGACAACAGGACAGCTCACAATTAGTGCTTTTGATTTGTACAATGATCACTGTGAATGCTAAACTCTGCTGCACGTGTGGCAGAAGACAGAAGACAAATGAAATATTTCCAATGTTTCTAGTTGTCAGAGCCATTCCCCAAAATAAGAAAAGGAATAAGAATCTAATCAAGAAAAGGATGTACAAAAAGAATAATGCAATGTTATGGAATTGTTTTTAATGAGAAAAAAAATATTAAAAATCTTCAAATAAATTACATCCTAGCAGCTCTGTAAAGGAAAGGTAGTATTGGTTTCATTTAGTGTTTTTCTTAAATGTACATTATATATGTATACGTAATAGTCACTGAAGTGCCATTACATCTTATATCAAACTCTAGCGTCCATATTTTGACTATTTCCACATCTTTTCATTAAAATAACATCTGTTTCCCACAGACACTGGTCACTATCATCATTACTTAAGGAAACGATTGTCCACCTAAGGCCTCCAGTTTTAAAGACTGAATAAACTGATCCACCTACTATGAGTATCTTTCAAAACCATCCCTCACTGTAATATCTTGGTTTCAAACAGTAATTTATTTAGATAACATCGTCTAATGTACATTCTGTTTTTTTATCACCACTGCTGCAACACTCCTTATAAGGAAAGTTTTAAAGACCTACAAGATTGTCAGATTTAGAAGAGGAAACTGTAGTAACAAAAGAAGTGCTTCACAGTCTTACAATTTCCATTGTCGTTCCTGTTATTCTTTTGAACTGTTCTGGATGAAAGGTTACTTCCTGAAAATTTTCCCAAGGTTTTCCCCTTAGGAAGAGTTAGCATCATTACTACATCCAGCACATGCGGGCAATGCTATTGTACTAGGTCATTACTGGACTTCTGGAGGAAAACATCTATTTAGCCTTGCTTTCAAAACACGTCAGAGTATGACAGTACAAATGCTTTACCAGAAGCAAAATGAATACAGACCTTGGAAGAGAAAGATGTATTTTATTCAAAGTCAATTCCAGAATGCTGAGGATTTGTTTTTAAGACTAAGATTTTCTGTGTCTTTTTCTTATATGAAACAGACATTTCATGAGAAAAAGGAAAAAAAAATAAAAATCAATATCACTCACAAAGCAGAGAATGGAAAAGGGTTCCCAGCCTGCCACGGCTTATACATTGGTTGCTCTTTTCAACTTATAACTTAACAAATTGATACAAAGGAAATAAGCAATTACTAAACAGTCTTCCCTTTTGTAAGAAAGAGAATCACAAAACTTAAAAGAGAAATAATGATTTTTCTAATACAGAAGGCAAGAAAGGACAGGACTCTAAGGCTGAGATCAGGCTGTATGTTTTGTTGTATCACAGCACAATCACACACCTTAATAATCAATCCCTTCTGAACTCTTCTGTTCCATCTTTTTAATTTTCTTTTTTTTTTTTTTTTTTTTTTTTACTTTTTTTTTTGTTGGTGTAATAACAATTAGAAAGTAGTCAGGAAATGGCTCAGAATCTACCACTTTTACCTTATGGTTTTCATTAAATAGATCTTCATTTCTTTTAAAATTTGCTTCTAGATGAGCTATGTGTCTCTCTAGCTCTTCTATCCTCTTCATATCTTCTTCTCTCTTCTTTAGTTTCTCTCTTTGCTTTTTCTCTAGCTCATCATATATGTCTTTAATCCTGGCCTGTTTATTGAAATACATAGAGAAATACCTTGCAGTATTGAAATCAGAAGCATAAGTTAAACATGAAAAATTCAAATCTGAAAAAAAAAATTATATCCTTAAGTGAATACTTTGAATAGACCACAAAATTCTGTGCAATTCAAGATGTCTTCAGAATGAAGGAAAGTTGGCCATTAAATCAGCACGTGAATAATAAAGGCTGAACAGCCACTACAACTGGCAAACAAACACAGAAGAGGCATCAGCAACAAACAATATGAAATACAAGCATTATATTGAAGCAGACAATTAATTTACAGTAATACTTAAGCAAACAGAAGAACAGTATTCCAAAAAGAGGAATTAAAATTCCAAATATTAATGATGCTAAAAAAGGAAGTCTTTTCTGATGGGAAATGCTATCACCATAGGAAAGTTCTCAGGAAACAAACCAACAAACCAAAAAAAAAAAAAAACAAAAAACAAAAAACCAACAGTCAGAAAAAGAAAAGGAAAAGAAAGAATATAGAATAGAAAGGAAAAAAAAATTGCAAAAATAAACAAACACATTTCAAGGCTGGGAAATACACCAACCAGCTTAAGAGCCAGCTTACATCCAACTTCATCTTTCTCTCACCAAAAAGAAATACAAAAAGAGAAAGAAAGAGAAATATTATGTACTAGCAATTACATTGTTTATAAAGAGCAGAGGGGTCTTATGTACACTTGAATTTCTACTACACCAAATTCACCATCACATGAACTCAATTATTTATCTGTTTAGAACTTATATATCTAGAACCAATATCTATATATCTATGTATAAATGAAGTGGAATTCAACTGCCACCATTTTGATTTCCCCTTTTAGAACCAGAGTTCCAGGAAGATTACTGGAAAGAAGGCAAGGAATGACCATAAACACAACTTACTGTTTTAGTTTTAGGTGGAAAATAAATCCTTTTAATCCCTTAATAACTCCTTTAATAGTCTACAAACATACCTTTACTTGAAGTGCTTCTAGTAGTTAATGCAACAGAACTTTCAAATTCACTATGCTAGGTGAAGGTTATGGATTAAGTTTCAGGTGACAAAATGATTGGTAAGTAGAATAGAAAAGCTCCCCAGATAAGCGTAAGTAATTCTGGATTGATGGTGGTTATACTCAGATGGCATTAGGAAATCCCCTTTAGCTACCTTAGAAAAGACTCTCCTTTAAACTGCTACGCATTTTTATAGTCAGTTGTTAATAACAGATTTTGCTCTTTCAGTAGCCTTTGCTATCATCGTTATGTTTTGTTCTATTAGTTTTGGGAAAAAAAAATAGTTAAAGAAATTGTAGTCGAAAATGAACATTACAAGAAGTCTAAGATACAAAGGTGAACCCACAAGAAGTATGAGATACTTATAAAGATGAACCTCTGTTGTGAAAACACATGAACTGCGATGAAAAAAGTTCTCAGCAGCAAATTTATATCCCATTAGGGAACTGTTCTTCTGTTCCTGTCTGTAGAAGGAAAGAAGTAGGCTAGAATGACTACTGAGGGATTTCTGCAAGAACCAAGAGAGAAGGCAGCAATTTTTAGTTCCAATGAATAATAGAAAATTATCAGTAATGAATCCAAAGAAAGTGAAGCAGCAAACAAAACCTGTTATGCTGCAGCAGCTGGGACGAAAAGCATTCCCTTCAGCCTTCTCTGAAGCAAAGTCTAAGAATTAGAGGGAAGGTGGGCATCAGCCACAAAGACACAGGATGGTGACAACCTTGAGCACCACAAGGCTTAGAAGAGGAGCATTCAACACTTCTTGCTTATGTCAGGGATGCAAAGGAATTGCAAGATCCCTCCTGGAGGTGTTCTTTCTAGAAGCGTGAAATGTATGTGCTAGGTTCTACTGCAACTTTCTTGCAAGTTCAAAGTCACAGAATGGAAGAGAACAAGCTTTGTAACCTCAATTGGAGGTTGAATATCCACAAGCAAATAAAAAGGATCAGACTTCTCTCTCTCTCTCTCTCAAAAAAAAAAAAAAAAAAAGGGTGTGGGAGTGAGGAGAAACAAAGATCTCAGAAGAACTTATGGTCAGCACAGCACAGTAAATCCAAGAGCAGCATTTGAGATTATCTCTTTTGATTATCTCTGTTTGATACAACCACGAAAGAAGCTAGAGAGGGTTTCCAACTTTAGAAGACCAACTGGTAATCTCTTAATTTCTGTTATCTTGTTGTCTGGAAAGCTGCTGCTCAGACTATCATTGATCAGATGGAAGCTAGAGCCTGGTTCTGATAACTCCAACTTAAGGCCCCCTCCCTGTTTCTTACTGGTGACACTGAATGGAGAAATTGAGGATTTCTTCAGAAAACAGTCCTGGAGCTTCCACTCCGTGTCTTACTTGAAACATTAAGAACTGACAGTTACTGCAACACATGTAATACGATTGTTACACATACTATCAAGGGAGGAACCTGAGGGAATTGATTTTCCAAAGGATGGAAATGGATGGCAATGTCCTACTTGGAATTTCAGTAAGAAAATTTGAAATAGTATCAATGCTTGCCTGAGGATTGTTGAAAAGCAGCAGTGAAGACCAGACAAAAAGGCTTATATTTGACAATTAAAAAAGTAACAGTGGCATATCTTGTGTGAATTAAGTAGTTCACACCAGGGGAAAATCAAATGGTGTTAAAATGGCTCATTTTGTATGTACATGCATCAGTATCAAGTATGGTAGGAGTCTGTACTTTCTACAGAAACTGAAGAAAAATACAAATTCAGATGATACTGTCTCTCCATGTATGAATTATTATTGAAAGCTGTTGTGTTTTTTTTTCTAGCAAACTGGAAGTTATTGCAAACATCTTGAATACAATTACTATGGTCCAAGTTTTCATGAGTATTTGCATTTTCCTAGTTGGATATAGAAAACAACAAACTCAGTTACTTAGCAAAACCCATTACCTTTCTATATAAATTGGCTACAATGTATTCAGAGCTAATTTATGGTAGAAAGTAAAAAGAACACAGAAGAAAAACTTAGCTTTCAAGTAAATGGGTTTATGTCATATTTACCTGAATCACTTTGCAAATTTCTTTTGCATCTTGAATTTCTTTTATAAGATTCAACTCCAGATTCTTTGGGAAAAAAAAAAAAAAAAAAAAAAAAAGTCATATGCAACACATAAGAAAATAAATTAATAGACAACAGCAATGACATCACAGTAAGGACAAGCACAACTTATAAATTTTCTCTAGATTATCACAGAACTATACAAAAGATGAAATTACAACACTTACTCATGCACAGTAGTTAAATAAATACAGACTACAAGAAAAGGAAGACTATATTTTAAATTTGAATAAATATATCAGTAACTATTTATTTAGTCATTTTCTGAGCTTAACATACATGAAGAAGCTGAAGTGGCTCACCTAAACTGATATGGAACATCAAATGTTGAGATTTTAAACAATCTCAATACCTTCTGTCAGCCTATGATGGGACTTTTTTCATAATTTCTAGAAAAAAAATCTGAACGTTTCAACCTTTTCTTATATGAGCGTTCTACTCACACCACTTCTAGAATTACAGTCAAATAAATTAGTCTAGTCTGCACACTGAAAACCTCTAGTTTAATGTATGTCACGTTAGCAGATCATCATAACTAAAATATACCTGATCACACTGTAAGCCAAATCCTAATTAGACTTTTCTGTTTTCTTTTAAGTGAATTTAAGGACATTATTTAGGCAAAACTAGGCATAATGTCGCCAACAATAAAGTTAGAAACAGACTCAATCCCTTCTATTGTTGAAATCTATTTCTTCAAGATGTTTAATTCACATCTGTATCTACATTCTGGAAGCACGTGCCATCAGCACTTAGAGAGGGATGTTCTTGCATGAGCAGGTCATAATACAATTATTTAATAATAGAATAATACGATTATTCTCAAGCCTCCAATCAAAAAAAGATTATTACAAACTTCATGGGAAAAGGAGACAGGCAGACCAGCATTCATGTAGAAAGTACATTTCGAGGAAATCCTGTAATCAATAAGTGGTAGACATTGTCTTTTGCCCAGAGAGGTTGTAGATGCCCCATCTCTGGAGGTGTTCAAGACCAGGTTGGATGGGGCCTGGGCAGCCTGGTCTGGTATTAAATGGGGACGTTGGTGACTCTGCCTGTGGTGGGGGTGTTAGAGCTTCCAACCTGGGCCATTCTGTGATTCTGTGTGACTTTTATTTCCAGATGAAAGTTCATACATTTCCTCCAAGGAAAACTCTGAGCAAAAATCAGTGTCCATGGGCCTTCATACCCCCCTAACACATCCATAAACCTATCTGAATCTAAATCTACTGAGCCTTAGAACTTTGAACTGTAGCTTCTGGACTGCTTCTGGACTGCTCTCCAAAATGCAGCATCATTTAGAATGACTGATGATAACACCTGGTGATTGTGTGAATATATTTTTTATTCTGCTCAGTGGCCCACAGAGACAGTTTAACTGGTGGTTACAGACAGATGCATTGTCAGACACATCAAGGGGTAATTGCTCTAACAAAACATCAGCAGAGACCAGAAAATCAACTTAAAATTGCACCATCATTTATAAGGGCATATTTAAAATTCAGCTCTCTTCAGCTATTGCATAGACAGAGAGGTATCTTAGCTTCCTTGCATTCTCACTGAACTAGCAACTTTTTTTTAGTACTAGTGGGGGCAATGGTGATGAGGAGACGGTTGGACTGGATGATCTTATAGGTCGTTTCCAACCTTGTGATTCTTGTGATTCTTGTGAACTTTTACCTTGTAATTAGCTCTTGCAACTGGCCACCTTTGTATGTGGCTTCATGTGTTTAAGTTTTGAAAATATAACCACGCAACTTTAGCTATTATAGTAGCTGAGATTAACCACAGATTAACCATAATCATTAAAGCTGATAACAAAATGATAACTCTGATGCTGCTGGAAATGGAGATACTCAACAACAAGGGTAATGAATCAACTTAAGAGATGCTAGAAAGCAATCATTGGAGATGGGACACTAACAATGGCTTAATGTAGAAGTTCTGCCAAGAAAGAAACTAGAACACAAACAAAATGAAATTCTGTCTCTAACCATAAATGCATAACCATAAATGAGATACATTTCTGATTGGCTGCATGCCCAGGATACTAACCCTATCTATGACTTGACTAGGGAGATTAAGGAGCAACAAAATCCAAAAATTAACGCTGTAGTCAAAATTCAAAAATGGATTTTTTTGTTGTTAGTATATTAGAAATGTTATGAAGGATAGCTGAAAAAGTAAAATATTTGCAAGCTAGACAGAGACTATTTATATATATCGTACTAGAGGCTCAAAGCACATGCAAATCAGGTCTTGATGGATGTTTTGGAAACATCAAATAGAAAAATCAATACCACTAAACAGAAAGGAAGCTGTCAGCAGCCAGACTGTATCCTCCAACATATGAAATGATGTCTAAAAGAAGCAAAACAGAAAAGATCCTGAACTTTGTGGATTTAAATCAAAAAGCACCATCAGGGAAGTTAAATAGGAGTTTTTAGATTAAACATGCAAAGTACATAAGAACTAGTGACAAATCCTTTCCCAAATACATCTGAATAGGAAGGCTGCTAGAGACAATGTCAGATTAATAGATGACCAGAAGCACTGATTTTAACAACATCTGGATTACTAAACATCAATCCTAAATTACATTTGAATAATTGAGGGAAAAATATAAATTAAGCAAATAAACAGGGACTTTTTCCTAAAACTCTTCTAAAATCCTTATTTCCTAGACTAATTTTTAGCACCCATGAAGTTCCCAGTAAAAAGCAAAAAAAAAACACCATAAAAGACTCCCTGCTCATGCAGTTGAACATCCATTCATGTGCAAGTTTCAGCACACACCATCAAGAATGCAGGGAAAACGGTGCTTGACAAATTTATATACAAACAAGACAGAACAAATTTAGCATTAAAACATACAGCCATAGAACAGCATAATATACCAAAAATACAATTTATAGGGCAAACCTACTTGGTGCAAATTCAGATATTGCCAGTAATATAAATTTGATGCAAGAGAAGACAACCTGGCACAATGAAAAGCTCTGAAGTTTTCTAGCCCATGTTTTACAGTTTTTCCCTTTGGCTCAAAAAGCCTTTCAACTGGTTCTGTTTTAAATCACATCCAACAATTCCTCTTTTCTGTTTTTCAGGCAGAGTCCAGTGCTTGGATTTGCTTACTTAGGAAAAATGTGAAGAGCCTAATATGTCGATGCATACTAGTCTAGAAAATACTATGAATGTTCTTAATTTTCCTGATTAAAAGTTAGGAAATCTTGAAATTGTTACGGAAAATATTGAAGTTCCTCCTTCCAGGCAATCTATACTTCATATACAGTAGAAGAACACTAATGAAAAATATACTAAACACCATTTATATCTCCCTGGTATAAAAATTCCTCTTTTTATTTCCTTCACATATTTCTGAATGCATATGTACTATGTTATTTATTAAGAATTATGTCAAGCAAAAAAAAATCCACAAACACAGTCATGGCAAAACCTATATATAAGAACGAATTTATATTTCAATTCTGGATAATGAAATACTTTCTAATGATAACTAAATAATTACTCTAATGCAGTATCTCATGCACAATATCTACATTTGCTATCACATAAAACTATATTGATTGGCAAATTCTTCTGATCACTTAGTGATATAAGAATGAGGTTACTTGTTAGTATTCCCATTGAATTACCTACAAATAGCAGAATTTTAGTATGCTTTAATATTTGTAAACTTTAATTAGCCTGACATTTTCTGTGACCATTTAATAAGCAATTTATTTTGTCCTTACTGGTTTTTCAAATTTTTCAGATTTTCAAGTGTTTTAAAATACGTGGTAAAAATATAGAAATCCTAGATTATTATTTGCTTATTGTTTTGTCGCTTGCCTAGTAACTCTGTGCAGTAGAAGTGTTTTGTTTTTTTTTTCTTCCACATTAAAATAATAAAAAAAAAAGTAGAACCTTGTTAGTCATCTTTTCTGCAGTTATTTCTTCTTGGATTTCTTCATACTTTGCTTTTTTTTCATTATAAGATAATTCAGCTTTACAAAGCTCTTCATTTAGTTGTTTTATTTGATCTTCAGACTCCTCTATGCTTTTGCTGAGAGTTTTGACTTCTGACTGATATGCCTCCTTTGCTCTTGAACTGTTAAAATAAAATTCTTTTATGAAGTATGCTTACTAAAAGAAAAACTCAGTATTAAATAAGTGAAGCTAAAATATTTGAAAATCAAAAGTAAAGGCAGGATTTCATCATCCATTTATACAATGCTGAATACACCAAGCTCTTCCCTAAAACTTTAAACTTACTTCATTCGTGACTGTAAGCCCTGATAGTTCCTTCGTATCAAACAACTACATACAGCCATTTTTTTTACCTACTCATTCCCACTGTAAACCTTTATCATACAATCACAGCATCCCAAAATGGCTGAGGCTGGCAGGGCCCTTTCTGCTCCATCAGGGACACCAGAACAGGGGTCCAGGCCACGTCCAAGCAACTGCTGAAGGTCTCTGAGCAGCAGACCCCACACACAGCCTCTGGGCAGCCTGTGCCAGTGCTTCATCACCTGCACAGCACAGAAGCGCTCCTGGTGCTCTGAAGAGAACTTGAACCTCCTCTGTTCAAGTTTGTGTCCATTGCCTCTTGTCCTGGCACTGGGCACCACTGAAAAGACCCTGGCTACATGCTCTTTAAACCTCTCATAATGCATTTACAAATATTATTATGGTCACCCCAAGACTTCTCCACACTGAACAGCTCTCAACCTCTCCTCCTACGAGAGGGTCTCCAGGCCCTTTGTTATATCCATGGCCCTGTGTTGGACTCTCCCCAATACATTCATGTTTCTCTTCTACTGAGGGCCTCAGAACACATCCAGCACTCCAGATGTGGCCTCACCATAGATAAGTAGAAGGGAAGGATCGCTTCTCTTGACCTACTGGTAATGCTCCTCCCAACACAGCCCAGGATGCCATTAGCCTTCTTTGTAGCTGGGATACATTGGTGTTTACCTGGTCTAATGTCACTAAGATAAAAACTACTTATTTCTTTCCATTACTATACTGAGGAAATGAAGTAATGTAAGACAAATACGTCATCCCTGCACTGCTTTCTGTTCCTCGTTGAAAACAAAGATTGAACTATAAGGACAATCTCACTTCTTTTCTGACAACTGCCACATAAGTTTGGAGGAGTTTAAAGAAATTGGCAGTTCACTGTGAGAAAAAAAATAATTACAGCCTGTTGTGGTGTAACCTGGCAGCTGCTCTCATTGCTCAGCAACAACCAACACACAGGTATGTGATTGGCCCTGTCTCAGCTGAAACCAGGAAACAATGATAGGCTCAGAGTATCACAGTACTGATATGACATACCAAATATTGCCAATATCAGGCAAGAGATGAGCAGCACATCAGAGCATTTAAGAGTTTTGAGCTTTACCAAACATCCTGCCTCTTGTGTGGCACTTAATGGCAAAACCCCCAAGAGAACAATATTTATAGTCTTTAGAACTCATCTTATTTAGCCAAGAACCCCAGTAAGATCAAAGATTTATGATTTCTGTATTACTCAAATAAAATTCCATGCAAAGAGCACTCTTTCTTTTTGTTGGGCTTTTTGTAAGATACCTAAAACCAACAAGATACTGGTGTGTAAATGAAGAACTGAAAATCTGTTTTATTTGCTGTTATATTATAAATGCACTAGGAACATTATGCAAAATACAGCTTAAAGTACAGCTATCTGGAATCAATAAACTGAGGATCCACAAAAAATGCGTAATATCTTACAAGAATTCAAAGAAAAATAGAGACACACAATATTCAGATTCTGTTTTTTAAATATCATAAATTAAAAAAAAAACAACAAGTAAAGTTCATAGAAGATTTACTGAAATGCCTTTGGAACTGAGGCTTGCGTTAACAAAGAGAATTTCAGAAACTTCATAATTTTGTTTTATCAAACTATGTATTCTGGTTTTGGCAGAATTTTCATTTTGCTTCTTTCAAATGAAGATCAAAAAATGCCAGTGATAAATTTCAGCCTAAGGCAATCTGATATTATTGAAATGGTGTATTACAGAAAAAAAATAATAAATAACAGTAAGGTTTTGTTTTATAGGTGTACTTTCAGTGATAAAACAACACTTGCTTCCAATATTTATATTGCTAACATTACCAATTTCCAAGTTTTTGCAAAAACTCTTCACTTTCTCCTTGGATTCCTTCATTTTCACGTTTCAAAATGTCCAGTGCTTCATTGATTTTGAGAAGCTTTTGCTTTCTACTTTGTAAATCAGTTTCCCTGGTGGATTTCTAAGAATCATTAAAACATTAAGACACTTTCAGAATAAGTCAGAATAAGTCAGGTCAACACAGAAGAAGCAAGTATGCAGACATTTTACTTAAATAAAATAATAAAGAACTTACCAATTCTTCCATAGCTTTAACCAAGTCAGAACAATCATCTGATATTTCTATGTTCTCATCAGCTTGTGCAGTTATTTTATTATTCAAATCTTCTACCTAAAATATATTTTAAGTAATTAAGTAATACAGATATCTCCTATATTTCTTCATAAAAATTAAACAATTTATTTTAAATTATAATTAAAAGGCAGCCTATTAAACAGTAACTAGAAATATTTCATGCAATGCTATTCATACACATGTTCCATTGTTATGTATCCAAGGTGAATCCTTAGACTTCACAGAACCAGTAAGCACACTCTCATGGTCTGCTAATTCATACGTGACATATGTTGTGTAACTGAACTGAATACTTTTAATTCTGTTCAGTTCTAAGACTTACTTTAATGTCCCAGTATCTCTATTGAGCTAACACAGAGATTCATACAGAAATTGAAAAACACTTTGCTTCACTCCCCTCTCATTACCCTGAAGAGACTGAAGCAACACAGATATCCTGGCAGAGCTTAACTATACAGTCTCCTCAGAGATACATTCAACTGGAATAGGATAAACTACAAGCTGGTATATAACCAACAAGGCTAAATGAAAGGTAAACAAATACAAAGTGCTACGCTCTGGAGGTATATGATACTCAAATTCAAACCTGCTTAAGGAAACAACTGCTTAAGTCCAGTTAAACAAGGCAGACAGTCACAATGATTCACTGATGTTAAATAGGAAATAATTACATAAATATCTAGTTTAAAACATCTATTAGATAGTCCTGGCCATTAGGAATGAAAGCCGAAGATGTAGCAAGGTCACAGTTGAAGTAGTGTGCCCATTTCAGGGACCCTAATTCCAGACACTCAAGCTCAGGTTGGATGGGACTCTGGGAAACTGATCTAGCTGTAGGTGACCTTTAAAAATTCATTCCAACTCATAAATAAATAAATAAACAAATGAACAGAGAGAGTTCACAGAGAAAGAATGGCTAGGAATTAGAAAACGTTCTGATCAGAAAGATTGAAGAGAAGCACTTTTATTAATCTAGGAAAAGGAGACTGAACAGCAGAATTTTTTTATATGTGAAAGATTCTTAAAAAAAAGAAAGAAATATTGCAGGGCAGTATGGGAAAGACAAACTGGTTACATTTACAGGGAAAATAACCCACAAATTCCATTTTTTCAATTGATAGTACTTAAAGAAGATGATTCAGAAATGTTTTTCTCTTTTTCATATGTTTTTAGAGCAAACATTTTGACAAGAACAATTTGAAGTGCTGCCACATTACGAAAAGTATTCTAGATGGTATCCTGAAATCCCCTCTAATATAACTCTTCAGGTAATTTCAAAAACAAAGCATTTTTCTTATTCTTCTCATTCTTCTTAAAACACAACTTAATCGTCAACAACCACACACACACACACACACACAGAAAGCTTGCAATGACCCCTGTCTCCTAAATTATTAATTTTGCATGTCTGACATTTGTGATTTTCAAGGAGAGATGTGAGGTATGAAGGTGTCTGTTGTCAAATTATAAATACAGATTTAGAAGACATTTACAAACTAACTTTGTGCACTTGAACATTATGAACATTGTTCAGTTGTTACTTTTTCTTTTACATCATCCAATTGTTTCTTCATTTTCTATCACTATGTGTGAAATCTATCCTCTTTTTTAAACAGTACTTACAAGACATGATTACACTTGAAAACATTCTATCAGTAGCAATTGCTAGTGCCAGTAATAGAAAAAAAAACAAACAACTTTAATAAACTGTTGAGTATTGGAAACAAAAGGTATAAAGTAACCCATTACAGACTGTCCAGTATGACTCTGTCTATCTATTTTTGGACATTATATGTTTCCCAGGACCATGGCCAAACAGCTTTTAAATATCTCCATTGAGGGAGACCTTGATATTTTTATTACTACTGATACTATATACATATATGCACACATATGCATGCACACATGACAAGTTCTGTTGCAGCCATCTAAGTTCTGTTTTAGGCACCTAAACATTCCTTTTTTTATTCCCTTGTGGCACCACATATGAAATAGTAAGTTAACTGAAAATGCCCAGTCAGACTGCGTGAGGATCTCCACTTCATGTTTTAAACCGCTGAGTACAAAAATGCAAGATTCCAAAAACAGTATCAGATAAATATTGGAGAAAATAGGGGAATTTCAAGTAAAGCAGGCTATCACTCTGCATGCTGCAGGAGAGGGCTTCATGCGTCACCTTAAGACAAAAAAAAAAAAACAAATTCAAAAGGACACTCATGTTGTACTGCTAAATATTCAGTGTAGGTGACTTAGAAGGATAACCAGTATTAGGCAGATGTGCACACAACTAAAAATATGTAGATCACTCAAACCAATGTAAGATGATTGATAACTTTAATAAATAATGATAAACATTAATAGCACAGTACAAGAATGGACAATAGAGTTCTGTACAATTCTACCAGTTTTTACTTTTAAATCAAAACCTGCATTTTTACTTTTACAGAGGATAATAACTTTTAAGCATACAAAAATATTCAGGCATTCCTGTACTTTTCAATAAAAGATACTCATTTACTTGGCTTGTTTATAAATATTCAAGACTCACTTTGCTGTTCCAACATTTTGCATCTTCCTGGATTTCTGCTTTTTGCTTCACTAACTCCTCAAGGTGTTTTTCATCCTTTATAATCTTCTCCTCTGTTTTTTTTAACTTCATACAGTATTCGGTCCAAATAAATTCAGAATGCTTTAACTCATTCCTAATAGAAATACACCCGAAGTGAATCCATCTATCTGGAAATATTCCAAGGTAGTCCCTCTCCATAAAGGAAAATGTAAAGCAGATCCAAATTAGTAAAGATTTATTTTGATTCTCTACTATGTTTCTTGAGCAGGTACGCATGAGAGAATTTCAAAACACCCAACCTGGCAGGTTCATACAATTTCAGCCAGAAATCAAAACTACTCAGGCTACCCATTCACTTATACTTACAAAGTCTGCCAACTCTGCAGCTTCTAATTGGACTTCTGAACAGGTATTAGTGTAGTTGAGTAGGAGACTTTTGTTTAACACATTTATTAAAATAAGAATCAATTTATTTTCTCCACTAGTGGCTAAATCTAGTTCAGAGCTATCTTCATTTCATCAGTGTAGTTCAGTATCATTTTATGGACAAACGCCATTAGTGATTTTTTTTTTCCTGTATCATCTTGTAACTGTTATCTTTGGTGCCATTACACAAGTAAGATGCCAACTCTTTATGTAAAAATGAACTTGCAGAGAGTAGATAATGTCAAAGAAGGAGCTAAACACCTTATTTCTACTCCAACTACCAGATGTATCAGCAGACACTGAATTATCAGAAGAAAAACCACCCATAATTACAGAAAGAGGTAATACAACAATAGTCAGGAAAACACTCCAACAATGAGCTGTTAGAACTTGCAATAAGCTGAGCACAGGTCTTTTGTTACATTTGTTTTATTTTACAATGAGTGTTGGTGTTTGTCTATTATTTTTGTTTGATGAAGACAAAAACTTCAATTAATAATTCAAGAGCCAAAGGTCACAGAATATATATATATATATATAATGAGCACCTAACACTTCAAATATCTGTACTCCCTTATGTCCTACTATTCACAACATACCACAGAATCATAGAATAGCTTGGGTTGGAAGGGACCTCAAGAATCATCAAGCTCCAACCTCCCCAACACATGCAGGGCTACCAACCTCCCCATGTAATACCAGACCAGGCTGCCCAGGGCCCCATCCAATCTGGCCTTGAGCACCTCCAGGGACGGGGCATCCACAACCTCTCTGGTCAGCTGTTCCAGCACCTCACCACTCTCATAGTAAAGAACTTCTCCCTGGCATCCAACCTAAAACTTCCCTCCCTCAACTTAAAACCACTTCTCCTTGTCCTGCCATATAAATGATACTTGGAATTTCTGATGACAGATACGTAACAGGCGTACTGCCTATCAGCTACAACTTTTCTGAGTACAATCCCATGGAAAAATATGCTACTATCAGCCATAGTGAATATGTGCAAAAATAACAGACTGTGCTGTTTGACATACCCCTCCTCCAGTATTTTCAGTTCTCTCACTGATGGTACTCAACATATAAAACGTGTATCAACAGAAGTGCAGCCTTTCAAGTCTGTGCCATCACAAATCTACCTTTGTCTCCAATAAGCACTACACTATTCTGATCCTCTTCAGATGGCAAATGAAGAATCTACTTCGACAACATAGGTATTACTTCAGTTACAAGCTCATCAAATGGCTGAGAAAACAGATTTGACCATTGATTTCCTCACTGAGGGTAGAAAAAAAGTCTTATTTTTTTACTTGTTACATGATGATACTCCTTAGCATTTTTAGTTTAACTTACCATTCACACAAACAAAAATGGTTGCAAGATGCACGAGAATCTACATCATTGTCACGTGCTACAAATAGGAAATATGTTAAACTAGTGAAACAGAAAATATACGTGGTCCATTTCTGTTCATGAGAAAATCTAAACCCAGAAGAAAACAGTTACAGCAGTTAGTTATACCCTCTTCTTTTCCCCTTGAGAGTGCGTTCTTCACAGAGGGTAGCAAACACTTTATTCTCAAATTCTACTGCATGTCTTGCTTTATTCTAGTGTGCATCACTACAATACAAGTTTAAAAATATCTTAATTCTTCCTAATGGGAACATCAAATGAAAAGGTCAATAGCAGTACCCAAAACTCTTATAACTGTTATTTGAGAATTTAATGTTCAGCTTCATGGTAGATAAGTCTGGTAGACAAATGGTATTTCAGTGCCAGAATACAGGAACTACAATGAGTTTGTGTACAAACTGTTTGTAACTGCTTATTTTCTGTCTTTCTTTAGAAAGTCAGATAAGCTGCTGATAGCCCATAAACATAGAAAATCACAAAGTTTTTTTTTCTAATAACGATCTTACATACCCATGAGAAACCTCTTTAGCAAAGAGGTTTTCACTAAGTAAACGTAACAGCTCTTACATGTTTTACATGTGTGCTTGCATAAAGAGTAGTCACTGTAGTTCACAGAAGTACAAAGAAATACTGACATAGCTCTCTAGAATCACCCAGTTATCTGCCTAGTTCTGTTAGAATGAATAAATATTCTAAAGTAAAATAAGGTTAAAAAAACAAAAACAACCAAAAAAACCCAACAGTTCAGGAACTGATTCATGGAACATTACATTTGCATATTGGACCTTTTGCTAATGCAAACTAAGACAAAGAAAGTAAAAAGTCTTTTACAGTGAGGGTGGTGAGGCACAGGAACAGGTTCTGGCGACGTCCCATCCCTGGACACTTGCAAGGCAAGGCTGGATCAAGACCTGGACAACCTGATCTAGCTGTGCACGTCCCTGTTTATTGCATGGGAATTGGACTAGATGACCTTTAAAGGTCTGAACTCTAAGGATTCTATGAAAAACATATTTTAGGTATAACTACTCAATTTTACAAAACTGAGAATTTGAAATATTTTCTAAATGCAAATTTTCTATCATTTCATTGTCACTACTAAAAACTAATACGTGTACGACTGTTTTGAACAGCTCTTACTTGTATTGACTTAGTAGCACCTCAGCACATTTAATTTTCTCATACATAGATTTTATCTTCTTTTTAGCTTCCTCATCAATTCTTTCCATTGTCTTTTGAATTTTCATGAGCTCAGAATGAACATCAGAATATATTCTGGATGCCTAAGCAAATAAAACAAGTTTTCCGAAAGATGTTACATAGAAATCACAATGTCACAAATAATAATAACTAAAAAAAAAATAAATCTAGTTTTGATTCATTGTAATTTTAAAATTGAATCTTAAATTTGAAGCTGTATTTTGTTATGCCATCACAACAAATTCCACATGTTCTGCAATAAATACCCTAGTGAAAGACAACAAGATGTTGTAAAATTGCATGATATTAGGAAGTATTACCAAGAGGCCATTCATTCTGTTGCACAACATTGAAGTTATTGTGAAAAGTGGCTACTTCCATGGGAAGACAGTGACCTCTGGAGCAGAAAGAAAGAAATAAGTTGGAAGAAGTCACAGAGGTTTCTCTCAGTAATCTGATAGAATCATTACTTAAACGAAACAACCCAAAGCATGCGCAAGACCTGCAGTCACCTGTGTAAAACAGGGGCCTGAGACAATGCAGACAAAAAACAAAATCTTCACTGGTATCAACAGTATTGCATCTGCTCAGTTCCTGTCCACTTAGTGCTATACACACGCTTTTTACCTCAGCTTTTGAAAATATTACAGATGTTAAAAAAAAATGTGATACAAAATCTGTAAATACTAGTTTGCTGGGTTTTAAAAGCTAGATTCAAAATTCAGTAACTGTTTCAACTGCAAAGAAAACTCAATATGAGCTGCTTTCCAAAGGCCATGGGGGAAAAAAGGAAAAAAAAAACACAGAAAAAAACAAAGGAGTAAGGAGCAGCGTGTAAATTAGAGCACAATTTGTTAATTAGAAGCTTTGCTGAAATGAAATATATAAATGAATCACAAGAACACAAAATCTGTCTTCTTAAGAACCGTGGTGTCTAAAAAGAAAAGACACTGAAAAAGTATTAATTTAATACAGTCTTTGGAAAATAGTCTGTTTCCTGATCCGTACTTTACAGCATCTTAATTTTTTTGACTGCATACAATTTATTCTAAGAAATTAACAAGACAAAAAGGATACAAAATGAAAATTGAAATAACTAAATTGATTTTTAATTAGCTGGTATCTTAAAAATGATCGAACTACCAGCTGTTTCATAGTCAGAACCATATGCAAGTTTTGGTGTGCGGAGAATTATTTCCAGAAACACACAAGAAAAGAATTTGCAAGCTGTCATTCACACACAGAGTAATGATTGTGTCCCATTCATATTTAACTAAGAAAGGGAAACGAATTGGAAGGACACTACTTTATAACAATTCTCATATTATCTATGTGATGTGATGCTTAATTAGCTCTTTTTTATTTTAGAAGTACTTTGACATGACTGTTGACACCTCAATATGCAAGGTTAAAAATAAAGCAAATGTTTAAATAAACTTTTATTCAAAATCACTGAGAAGTATAAGATCATTTTTAGATTGTAAATGCAGTACCTTGAAATGGATTCATCTCTAGATTTGAGATTAAAAGTAACTATAAAGCATACATAGAAAATAATCAGTATTAAAATCTGAACTTGCGGCTACGCAGTACCCCTCCTTTTCTGATATGCATTTAAAAATATCTACAACTCTGCTGCACTTTGATTGTTCAGTCTGCAACTATCCGCATTAAAAATGCACCACCACTTGAAAATAATTCAATTTTACTTTCTTTGACAGCTTCTAATATTTCCACATTATCCACACTCTGGAACAAAGCTTGATGTCTGTGAGAAATCTGAAGAGAATCAAGAATCTATACAAACATCAGATATGTGCCATCTACATTTTCTGCAAAAAAAGAAAAAAAAAAAAAAAGAAAAAAAAAACAACCCAAACAGATGGAATGAGCTTACAAATTTAGAATTACATTCTACGTGTGCTTATGAGACTTTTATTAAAGGCCCACAGCATTATATTCCCCGGATTCTGCCTGTACTCTGTACTGAGGCACACAATTCACAGTCTTTGTCTACAAAATTTAAAATAGACTGGTGATGCTGCTGTAAAAGGTTATGTATCTTTGTGATTGTTTTTTTTGTATGATGCGTACTCACCTTTTCATAAGCCAGTAACACATCCCTCACAGCTTCACCCTCCAGATTCAACTTTTCTTCCAGCAGAGGGCTGTGTTTCTTCATGAAGTCTACATCCTCCTGAATCCTTCTGCTAACTGCTTCTATCTTAAGTATTTGGTTTTGTACCTGTCGCAGCTGACGGCTTTTGCAATCCAAATGCCATTGTAGCTCTAAGGTATCTCGAGCGCATGTTTCATATTCTGTTAGAGATAATTAGCATAACAGAATGTGTATTTGAGTGACACCGTGAATGCTTAGTGAGATTAGGAAATGCACAGTTACAATACCAAGTATAAGACTTGCAAAATTTTGCTGTAAATTACTGTTAAGGCAAAAAGAGGACATTGGTTACAAAAGACATCACCAAATAGTACATTAGGAGTGGAACTATTCTGAAACTCAATAATCTAACTACATCATTCAAGTACATTCTCAGAGTGAGTGGTGGCTTTGTTTTTATGAAGGAAATTAAAACACTTAGCCTTAAGGCACATCTTGAAAGGTTGTTACCACACAAAAAGAGCTGTACTAAACTTGCCAGTCACCAGCAATGGACGTATGCGGATGCAGAGGAAGAACAGGGCGAGTATATATCCCAGATCCCCTTAATATGACAGCTGTTTTCAGTTCAGGAACACTTTCTGAAACTAAATGGGGCTTCAAAAAATCTAGACTACAGATAAATATTCAAAGCCGTCAAGAAGAACATATTCATGTTGCCATACAGAAATGTGTCAGTCTTAATTCACTTCATTGCATTTACTTCTCCTACACTGGTATAAATTTCCTGAGGGCCCTTACAAGAAAATATGTAACTAGATCATTGGTTGCTGAATGACAGCACGTATTTCATCTTGCTCAGAAAGAAAACCTTATTACAGACTGTGTCCTAACGGTACCACAGCAGCTGATATTTAACAGTGAAAAAGATTACCAATTAAGAGAAAAAAAAAAATCTAAACAGGAGTAAACTCTTGTTATAAATCTGAGAGAGAGAAGTACATTTTACCGAGAAGAAAAGGCTTTCTAGCTCAGAGAAGTAGCTATAGAATATCTGGCCCGATTCCTTAACAGTTGATACATTTTGCTGCGTTAACAAGACATAAATCACAAATTTACAAATGTATTATTTCATTGCCACTAAAAGTTGAAGAGACATTATACGAGTAAGTGGCTTTTCTGTATCGTACTAAGTGATGCCTAACAGTAAAATGGAAAAAAAAAAAAAAAAAAAAAAAAATTTTTTTAAACTGAATTTTTTTTATATTTAAGAAGAGGTCAGTTCTGAAGACGGGCTGTGTCACTGCAATTACCTCAACGGCCTACAGGACGTAAAGGCAGCAGGAGTCAGCAATAACGGAAATCAAGGGAAGTCTGAAGAAATAACAGAATTCCGTGCCTACTCAGAATGGGTCATGCAAACTCTTAATTAAGAATCTCCTGGGTTTGTATTATTTAGATTAGGGATAATTGTAACATCCCTGGGGGTCTTTTCCCCTTATCCTCAATTCTGTTTTAGCATAATTTTTTGTTTTACAGATAATACTGTAAATTATTATAAACCTGAAAATGACAAATTTACCCCCAAGGACACAACATCACACTACCACAGCCTACAGATATCAAGAGAGGAGAGTTGGTTAATATCTAAAACCCAACTTCTGCTTTTTTATTGCTTTTTTTTTTTAAATTTTAATAAATATTCTATCACTATATCACCGCATAACTGACTGACAGCATTTAAATATCATTATTCTACTATTCCAAACTTCCGAATGCAAAACAGTAAAGCAAAAGCATTGGGTCCCCCCAAAACGTTTTTATTCTTTATATTTTGCATCTTGCATTACTGCTGTTGACTTGGAATGTAATAGCTCTGCAGCTCATATTACTGTGCTGCAGAACAAAGCTGTATTATTAACCTTCTTACAGCTTTTTTGCTTTGGAAAAATTGACCTTTCAGTTGCCACAGGATTTTCTCCTGAAAGCAGTTTCTAACCTCCCAGTGAATTAATTTTAATTTTGATCCCTTATTCAACCTCTCCCTTTGTTTTCAGAACATCATAAACTGCCCTTCAGAGACTCCTGTTTTAAAAACAAATAATCAAACAAACAAAAATCTGTAACAATCTCTGCAAATTAGTCATGTATTAACAGCAATTTCTTGTTTCCAATTCAAATTAGGCACTCGCTAAGATAAATATATAAATTCATAAGCCAATAAATATAAACCAAAAATTATTCTCATATATTCTCAGAAATGTGCCCATCTTCACATTTTGCCTATGGAAAAAAAAAAATAATAAACAAAAAAGTATTTCAAACTGAAAACATATCCTACACATCCTGGACCATGAGAAACTTGTCAAACTCTCAGGATGATGACCATCAGGAATATGTACCACAGTATTGACTGTGATTTCACATCCCGGAACTCACTATTACAAATTATGTCACTTCTTTTCATCTTAATGTTTGTCTCTCTTTTGGCATCCACTATAATTCTAAAAAACTACAGTAAAATTATAGACAAACCACTACTATGCTTTGCAAATCAGTGTCTGGGAATATTAACTGACTTCCCACCATCCCTAATTTTAGTTCAACCGCACAGTAACAAACAGATGTAATGGGATATCATGATGGTTCTGAGCCTGCATTTTTCCTCTTCTACAACATACTAAAACAAGACTGTAAAAAGTGGTCAAAAACACAACTGAGAAGATCCGACTGACGTTCTCTGAGGCCTTTTTCTTGGAATAGCTATAAATACTGCTCTGCTGCTCTCAGTCTAAGAAAAATATTGCAGACCGCAAGGAGATAACATTCCAGAGCTGTGATGGCTACCAATCATATGAAAACTGCTTAAGTGAAGACACATTGACCACTGCATCTCTGACATCAAGAATCTAAATTTCTTTAGAACTTAACTGTTTTCCTTATGAAAAAATGGATAATTAGCCAGCCCTCAAATCAGCATTAATATAGAAAGTCTTGCTTCCTGGATTTTAGGGTCCTGATTATTTTTTGCTGCTGTGATATATTTTGTTAGACATCTGGATATAAAAATAATAAACTATCCCCACAGAAGCTACAGGATAACATGGAGCACTTCTGTGGAAAGGAATTGAAGATTTATAGATGTTGACTGAGAGACTTCAGAGGGCCATGGAGTATCTTCATATAATGTGATGTGTTGCAGACGTAAAGGAACTGAGAAAAACGCCTTAAAATCAGAAACAAAGATACTTACAAGACCAGCTTGGCAGCCACCAAGACACCCATTACTCACTGACAATAAACATCCATGGTATCTTGAAATATCATGATACCACACTGTACAAAAAGCCTAAAAGTTTTATGTTGTGCTTGCTTACTCCCTGGCATTAGGAATAAAATTTGGGGAAAAAGCAAGTTGAAAAAACAGGTTCACTAACCACGATAACATTTATACCCTTGTTCTCATGCAAAAGTCAAGAGTTTCATGGCTATAGTACTATGACACTACTCAGGAATACTACATAGATTAAAACAACCCATGTGTCTGTCAATGATTGCCATTCTCTGTTGACACTGAAGGGCTTGAATCATACAAGCAAAAAAAGCCTTCCCAGATTTCAAGCATCACAATTAACATATCTTCAGATTTCAGTGCAGAAAAGTGAATTCTGAAAGGAAAAATAACCTGCCACTATGGAATCTGTTCTTCCATACAGCCAGTCATCTTTCCTTTACATCTGTTGGTTGCTTTATTATCAGTGTATCTGTTATTAAAAGATTCTTCTAAATGAAGTAGAAAATTATTTGTTCTGGATTCTGCATTAAATTGACTCTTGTCATCTTCAAAACTTCATTCTTCTCACTTAGAAAATCCCTTCACTTTGACAAAATTAAGCATGTTTAACATGTCCTCTAGTTTTCATTTTGTTTAAATCATCAAATGACACAAACCAGAACTGGTGCTTGTGGCCACACAGGTTTGAAACTCTACGTGACAAGGCAAAAGCGCAACTATTTTTTGCAGAATTTGTTCTATGGTTTGAAAGACAATTTACTTTCTCCTGCTTGTCTGGAGTACCATGTAGTTAAGTTTCTTCCTAGTCTTTCAAAGCTCTCCTCAATAATCAGTCTCATTAGAATTCATTAAAATTTGTAATCAAGGTTCTGGTAGCCGGCACTGTTAATTATATGCTATTTGTTGTCATGTTTTGTTTCTTTAAACACCAAGATGAAAGGCATTTGTTTCTCTTAACATCTTCTACAGTGACGAATATCTTGTTTGACAAAGCACACAGGAAAAAACATGCTTTGGGTGTATCTTAGGTGATTCCTAACTACGGAATAGTTCTGAAAATGCCACTTCATTTCTAAAAGGTTTAAATTATTCTGGAACTGCAATTCCAGTAGGACTTTCAAAATTCTTAAAATCACTTTTATTTTTTCTACAAACTCTTACATGATTCAATAAAAAAAAGCTGGGTGACATTCTTGAGAATAATTTGATATGCATTTATCTCCTACACAGTAACGCTACTGAAGAAAAAAAAAATTGTTCTATGCGATCAGGATATGTACTTAAAATGAGTAATAAATATGACCAAAGAACAGAAATCACAGTATGTAGAAAAAAACCAGAAGAGGTAGAAAGAAAAGTGAATATCAAGGGCAAAGAATGGTAACCTTAAAAAGAGTAGATGATCCCAGCTAAAAATAGGTGATTTTAAGACTGCTGTCAGCATTTTACAGTATTAAGAATACAAACATAAAAAAGCTATAATATTAAGTGAGAATTTGGCAATCCACCCTGATCACTAATCTAGGACTGTCAACGAATATGAGTGACATTTGACATATTACATGCTAACAGACAAAGCTAATACATGCATGCTTATAATTTTCCTCTAGTTACATGTTTTCCCACAGGCATCAGATTTTCAGTCTAGGTTCAGATGATACCTACTTCCCATTATGATCTGTGAGTCAGAAGACAAATAGCAAACAGCTGCAAAGTATGTGCTTTTTTTTTCTTTGCTTTTTTAATTCTATTGTGTAGATGCCAGCTAATCACAGAAGGTAGCACTAAATGTCCTTAGAATCCGGGATTTTGAGAAATTCTATCAATAGTTACATCCAACTATTCATGCAAATACTTTAATCAAGTTTATCACATTTTATTTTATTTAAATTGATGGTTTATTCTACAGTTTAGCACAATTGCATTATTTTATAGTTCTGTTCAAACTTCTGATTCCCTGCCCTAACAAAAGTATCTCTCATCATCTTAAGTTCATTGCCTACTCTTGAGTTATTCTTCAAACAATACTAAACTACTACACAGTTTAGAACTATGTAATATAGTGTGTTCCGTGTTGTTTTTGGTTTTGGTTTTTTTTTTCCCCTATGGATATATATTAAAGCATGCCAAATTCAAAAGAGTAAGTACTGCAGTTCTGTTACAGTAAACACAACTATTCTCACAGTGTAATTATTTTCCTTGGTAATGAACTGACTGAAAATAACAAATACTCTTAACTTCAGTAGTGATACCTTTTTGCACAGCAGCAGGGAAGTGCTGAAGCCTCCAAAGTGACATACTATCAATTTCCATGCCAAGCTTTTTCCTTCGCTGTCTCTCCCGCTCCAAAGCTTTTTCTGCCTCCATACGATCAGCCTCCAATCGCTTAATTAGCTTAGTAACTTCCAGTAGCAAAGCTGCTATTTCCTGCTTCAAGGTTAACGTCTTGCTGTCTTTAAAAATACATTAAATATTTTTTTATGAAAGCTTAATCACAGGCTCTTTATTCCAGCTTCATTCTGAACACAAAGTTGTCCTGTCTGTGTGTATCACAGTAAGCACAATTAGTTACATTGCTCTTTAATAATACATTATCATTATTTCATATGATAGCTTAAACTTACACTCTGCAGTCATCCTCAACACAAAGGCAGCCTCCTCACATGTATCAAGGCAAGCAAAAATTGGCTGCAAACAAATCTTGCATGTTTCCTCCAGTTTATTTCCAAAAACACACTAATAGAGATGGTACACAATTTTCATTTTTGTCTTGTTGTTTGGATAAGTAGTTACCCCAAGTTCTTCATTATATCTTTGTTGTTGTTGTTTTTAAGAACACTTATTTTATGTTCCCCAGGAAGTATCAATGACTTCATTAAAGTTCTCAGAATTCTAAGAATATTCAGTGAAGTATCTCAACAATACACAACACTGGTTTTCATCATGATACAAATAGGTCATCAAAATTTTATTTTGTAAAAATCTGGCTATCAAAATTGTCCTAGCTTACTGCTTTTGGTAAAATATTTTTGAGGTCATCATCCTTAACCTGATCTACAAAAAAAAAAAAAAAAAAAAAATTGCATAAACTACAGAATTCAAAGCATTTCCATTTAAATTCTACAGTCAATGATCAGTAACTCCTCAAATTATTTTCATTAAAAGTTGTAAGCACTGAAAATAAGGGTAGCTACTTAAAATCTGGATTTTAGCTTTGCTGCCAACAAAAAGTGTATTATACAATTCACTGTAGACAGGATCAACTTGAGTTAGCAGTACTGAAAAGAATGCACTGTGAATTGCACACAGACTCTTGAATACTGAAAACAATTCAAAAACATTTAATTTGAACAAAGATGCCAACTGTAAGAAATATAACTTCATGTCAGGAGTGTATTTGTGAAAACCCTGCAACAGTGATGCAGCTACATGTGTTACTGAAATTAAACAAAACACAAAATAATTTGTTCTGCTGGCTTAAAGTACAGTATAAATCTACATAGAAAAACGTAAATTACCATCTTGCAAACAGGATGATTTCATGGTACTTAATATAACATTTAAAATCCATGTGTCTTTCAGCTTGACAAATGATACACCGATAGATTTCAAAGGATGCACACATCATTTACATAAGATCTATCAAGCAGCCAGCAAACATTATTAAATGCAAAGCATATATTAAATGAGGGCAAGTAACTATTTCCACTCAGACTGAGTACTGTACAGAGTACTATAAAGCATTTTACCTTCACGAGAAACATTAGCATCTTGAAAATCCAAACTAGTTGATAATGATAACCAGGTATCTTCATTAGATTCAACACTGACTTGTTCTGTTATCCTGTGGATAAAACCCACTGTCACTAAAAAATTTTAGACTGAATTTAAAGTGGCACTGTTACATAAATATTTCTTTTACTAAGTCAGAAGTGCCTTTCTTCAGTCTTGTATCTTAAATGCTGGATTATATAGAATTACTGTTAAAAAAAAAGAATGCAAGTCATTCAAAAGAATTTTTAATTGTGTAACTCCCATATAAATGATTTTCCTCATATTTATTTACAGAAATACAAAAAATAGACTCCTTAACATCTTGTACCTACACAGACCAACTCTGTTGTTACACCCAAGGATTTGCCAAAGAAACCGATGAGGATAAGTTGTTATTCTGCCCAAGTTCTGAAGTGAAAGGATCTATATACTGTACACTTTGCAGACTCTTCTCAGCAGCAGAAGCATCAAATTTCACCCTCAGACAGAGATGCATTGCCAGTGCAAGTCAGAAGTAGTTTCAGTTTTATCACCTTAAGGGATGTAATAATTTCAGGGTCAACAATGAAGAAAAGCAATTGAAGATTTTTTAGAAACACAATGGCTTCATCAGTTTCCAGCAGAGAACCTTTTGAAATCTTGGGAAATTCAAAAGCAGAAAAAGGGAGGTTTTTGTTAAAATAAGATTGGGATAAATCTAATCTGCAAGTGAGAAAGGGAAATAAACAATCCAAATAATTAAAGAACAGAAACAAACTAGAAGTCTCAGAAGACCTCAAGAGGCTCATTAGCCTACTGGAGTTGAGAACAAGGTGATGAAGGATAACCACCCCCCATATATGCCCACGTGTGCAGGTTAAAGAGTATATACAGGTCTGTCACATGCAGCGAAGACAAAATGAACTCTATGTGTGGGTATACCACACATCGATGCATAATGTGAAAGTCCAGAGTTGAAAGCAATCCACAAAAATGTACCACAAAAAAAAAAGAAAAAAAAGAGAACTGATGCCTCTGATTGTTACATCTAAGTTACTGGGAAGATTCCAGTAATGGAAAATAATAAGAAATTTGATAAGAAAAATGAGACTTGGTAATGGAAGAGATTTCAAATTAGATATAGAAGCAGAAGTTCAGTGAAGAGGAGTTGGGTAAATAAGAAACACAGAATGACTCAATAGGCATATGTGACACAAAAATACACACAGAAATATATGCTTTGTTGAGCAAAACAGCCAAGACAAGCTGAATGCATGAGATACATTCTCCTCTTCAAACTCTTCTTTTTAATCACTGTAATGAGACCGACATCATAAAGTGGCCCACATCACAAATAATTCAATTTAAAATTACACAGTCAGCTTTGTTTTGGGTATCTTATAACTCAAAACAACGAGAACTTAAAATGGGAATGCTGAGCCATATTTAAATATCTCAGATGAGGCGCAATGTCAGAAGTATCAATAACTGAACTGCACTTCACAGCAAAAGTTACCATTTAGGTGGGTCCTAAGATCCCCTTGAATCTTTGAATATTAAACACAGAATAGGGAAGACATAATAGTGCATGAATACTTTTGGTCTCCTGACATAAATAGTTCCTGCAGGCACTGTGAATGCTTATTTCAGCTGTGTTCTGCACAACAGTAGAACTTGGTAAACATTAAAGTTCACAGAGAAGGCATTATAGTCACGCTAATTTTTCATCAAAAGTTTACCTGACATAAAAACAAACAAGCAGTTTGTATGATTTTGTATGCATAATTCTTACCACAGCTTTTTCTCCTCCTTAAACACACGGTCATACTGCAAAATAAAAGACAAGTTTCATTCCACATCTCAGACGACACATAATTGTCTGTTACCTAATAAAAAGACTACTGAACTTTGTATTGTAAAAGGATATAATCAAAGTGCATACAGATCTGTGTTTCTTAATATCTTTAAATAATTACGAAGCTTTTGAATTCTGAAAACCTGTGTAAGAATCTCCAAATGGTTGGTAATGAAACCCATTCTTTGTACACACATGTTAAATATTACTCAGTTTTGTAAAGCTTTTTAAAATGCTTTTACATTGTTAATTATATTGCCACTCTTAATCTCTGTAATTAAATCTCAAAACTATTGGACAGTTTCTGCCTGAGCATTCTATGCTTTTCCTTCACTAGACTTCTGTCCAGAACAGTAAATTAAAAGCTGCCAGGCAAATTTTTTGGGCCCAGAAACTTTATCAACTGCATCATAAGATTGTAACAAAAACTTATTGCTACAATTGCCACATACCCAAATCACTCCCAATTTCTAAACAGTTCAGGAATTGGAAAGAATGATAAAGCAGTTCCCAAAGCCCTGCACATACTGTCTCTCTTGTTTTTCAGGGTAAGAATATAACAATATACATATGAGGTTTTCCATGTCAACTGGACACATTACTGATTATATTTAATCAAATATCAGAGCCCAGGGGCTTTGCAGCCAGTGAGAAGATATAACCCTGGTAAGGTCATCTGGCCTCCCCTTCTTCGTCAGGCTCTCCTCCCTGCTGCTCAACCACACTGTGCATCTCACCTCAGCATTATGGAGAGGCCTATCCACCTTCCAGACACTCATTATATTTGATTAATTGGTTTCAATTCTAATTATATTGTATTACAGTGTGTTATCCTGCATTCTGATATCATATTTAGTAGTTAGTTTGTTTCTCCTCAGATCATTGCCACTGTTTTTAATTATTTTGGGGTCCCCTGTTTCCCTTTTCTGGAGACGTTGATTTTGTGAAATCCCTCCACCCCGCTGGTCACAGAATTGGGCTGAACCAGCCCACAAACAATTGACATACACAAAATTAGAAGTGGAAAATACACAAGAGACAGCATATACATTAAAATGAATGAACATCTGGACAGATCAGTGTTTCCTCATTTAATTCATGCACAGTAATAACAAAATTATCACACAAATAACTTCACTATTCTCACTTTATTTTAACTCAAAGTGAATGAGGCAATACAAAATTCCCTATCTACATCTATATTGTATATCAAGATATTCTTATAGCTTATCCAATTTGGATTCCTCCAGTACCTATTCTGTAGTTGCAGAAATCTCACTGCAAAGCATTTAATAAAGTAGAAGACTAAAGTGTGATAGTCTTTCTGATGTACCTCAGTGATTACAACACAGTCAATACTGGAGCTAAATTATTTAAATATAACTTGTTTGCAACAGTAGCAATCAGATCTTACTGCAGTGTAGACATACACAAAATTTATTAAAAATTTGGAAAACACTCCACTGTGAATTATTTAAATAAAACTGATCATGTTCTCAAGGAAGTTAATAGGAAAATTTTACTGTACTTCAAAAGACAATGTATTGCACTCTTTCTTCATCTAGCTACCCATTTTCAGCTTCCCTTTACTCTTGTTTCTATTCACAAAATCTATTTAGGCTATGAAAACATCATACATTGCTAGAAAAAGGACCATTATATTTTCAAATTCATGGCTCTCAATAAGAGAGAAGATTTAATCAAGGAATTGTTAAGTACTCTCTAGGAAAAAAACAGTGCTTGCTATAAAGGAGAGAAAATCACCATAGTAATCTTATTTTAAAATACATTTGATATAAAAAGAGCTCAGCCATTTTCAACCATAACTGTACCTGTTGAAAGTATTTCCCCATCTTTACTTCCAAGTCTTGAATGTGATGAATGGCTTTATTAATACATGGTAATGGAGTATTTACAAACGCACAGCTCCGCTGCCTTGTGGTGGTCCATTCATCTGCAGAAACAATGAGAATACAGAATGTTGCCGAGCTTTACCTGAAGGCTGATACCAGATAGTCTGATACTTGAATTTGTCCCTTAATTTGAAACCTGACAAACCTTAGTCTTGGCTAAGAGAATGCAATCGCTGCATCTATTGCCATGCACACATTACACAGAAAAGGTCATTCCTTTTCAATATGAGAAGAGAGGGACAAATGAGTGCATGAAAAAATATGATGGAATAACATCAGAGAGACAAAACATGATAGAAGGGGTAAGGTCAGAATATCAGTTTTCTATAATTAATTTTATAAAATTAATCCCAAATTAATCGAGTTTGATGACTTTAGGCTAGTCCTCAGTGAAGATTTTGTCCAAAGAGTAAGAATAATATCAAAACCCCAAAAAGCAAGGCTGGTAGCTACTGAAGAGAAGCCTAGAGCCAAACAGAAGAGGTCTTACAGCTCGAAGAGGCAAGCTTAGCCAACTCCTGTGCATATGATACTTAGTGCCAATCAGCATTGGCTTCAATCATATGAAGGAACGAAGTTCCAGAAGGCCAGTTCTGGAGTTGGGGCATTCAAGCTACATGGCACGTAACTGTTCCATAAGAACATTCAGGTTTCACGGCTACATTTTCTTTCAAGTGTGCTTGCCTTATAATGACATAGATAAATTACACTCTGTCACACTACTGAATGTTATCTATTCAACTGATACATAGAAGGGGAGTCTGACAGCAGGGATCACTAATGAAAGTCATCATGAATCACCACGAGACAATGAAATCTAGCAGAGGAGCAATTAAAAAGTGTGATCAGTTGTCCTACAAACATGGAACATTAGCCTAATTATGTTCAGGGCAACACAGTGCTCTAATGTGTGTTAGATATTTACAAAAAATAACAATAATATTTATAGAGATTACTCAGTAGAATAGATATATTAGCAGGCAACCTTCATACAGTTTGTAGGTGGCTGTGTTGTTTATTTATTTATATATTTTTTTTTAGAATAATCTCTCAGTGTCTTAACTAAAATAGTAAGACTAGAAGATCAGAAGGCTCTGGGTTACATACACTTACTTTATGGTAAACAGCTTTATTGGAAAGCAAAAGACAGTTTGCAAAATTTTGCTGGAAAAACAGAACCCACTAAAATGGGCTCACAGGATCTGTCAGAGGGGAGTTCTTTACTATGAGAGTGGTGAGGTGCTGGAACAGCTGACCAGAGAGGTTGTGGATGCCCCATCCCTGGAGGTGTTCAAGGCCAGGTTGGATGGGGCCCTGGGCAGCCTGGTCTGGTATTAAATGGGGAGGTTGGTAGCCCTGCATGTGGCAGGGGGTTTGGAGATTCATGATCCTTGGCTATTCTGTGATCTTCCTCAGCCTCTTTCCAGAGCAACCTTTTTAGGATGCCTATGCTGCACCATCTGGACTAAGTGTATACAGATTTTGGATCTTTCTGTGCTTACAGAAGTTCACATTTCCAGACTAATATTACTTCAATTTCACTTAGCTTTTTCTGCTGCTATTTTTTTTTTATCAGTTTACCAAATGAATATTAATTTTGTTGTAAAAATTATTTAATGTTCTTGCCTCAATATACCTAAGAATACTTCCATTAAAAAAAAAAAAATCAGAAACACCTGAATGGCATTAAGAAAATAAGATTAATCTCTTACTTCCTTGATTTTCATTGGCAAAAGCAAACAATGTCACAAGTCTTCTAAGACGTTTGTAAAAGCAAGTTATATATAGAACTCAGCAAGAAAATGGAATCGTTCACTAGATTTTTCTTAAAATCTAAAAAAAGTGTAAATGCCATGTGAAATACAGCTAATAATGTTTTCTCTAGATGGAAAAACTGAACTGTGATTAGATGATTGAGTGACACCACTAAGTAAATGACTGACATTCAAAGTATACAAATGCATAATTGCTATGAAGAATTTTGAGTAGCATAACAGATAAAAACCACAAAAGAGAACTAGCACTGCACACTATTAAAATAAAAATTGAAAATAATGTGTTAAATTTAAGCCTTTCATTAAGCTATTTGAAAACCATATAGTAGAAGATACACTGACATACCTTGAGGTGGTTCATCAGTGTCCTTAGAAGAGTAGGAAAACAATTGCGTTTCAAGCATTATTGTGCAGTATTTTGCAGCCTAATGATTAGAAAAAACATTATATGTAGGTTACTCTGACAATAATTCCTTCTATTTATATCCTACAGATACAAAGAGCACAATAACACTATTTGACAGAGCAAATTCTCAGCTAGAAAACACTGTTTTTCAATACAGTCATCATCATTAGCTCTGCATGTTCACCAGAGGTGAACAAAAGCCTGAATGCCACACTCATAAACATCTACACAAGTGGAGATGACCGACTATCAATGTCACCACTGCTGAAAGACACCACCCACTGCCTCACTGTGCTCAGATCCACTGGCTGGTCTCCATAAACGTTCAGCAAGCATTGATGAATGGCTGCCATTTTTTCTTCATGGAGGAATTTAATGACACACCTTTGCTTCCCACACACCTCCAGGTCAGCTGCCATTTTGTCAGATTGTTCCTCTGTTGCCATACGTCATATAGTGACAAAAAACAACGGAGAATTGGTGGGAAGCTTCAACCTCTACTGCCATACCTTCAACATCCACCTCTGACATTGTGTGCCAACATCATAAAATAGAAGGCATTACTTTTGGAGCATCCCTCATATTAACCTCTTTCTTATTCTTGCGAGGTCAAAGAGATCTGACAGTGGTAGGAACAATCTCTGCTCAAGCAAAAAACTAATTCAATTCAATTATTAGAAATGAGCATCTGAAATTCCATTACCAGAAGAATCATTCAAATATGTTTTAAAGATGATTCCTACCAAAGCTCATGCTACTAAGCATGTTAGTTATTTGATCCATCCCTTTACTCATAATTAAAATATCATGTACAATAGCATAATATTTTTTTGCAAAGATTACTAAAGCTTAAACCTAGCATTTTCCATTCTGTTGTATATGTCTAAATGAAATACAGTAAATATTGGTTACCATAGTAACCACAGAAGGGAAGAAATTTAGTTTTGGCATAATTGCTGCATATGTTCATACAAATCACATCTCCCTTTCTGAGCATTAGAAATGTTGACACTTCTGAACTCCATTTTTAAAAAATAGGGTAATGAAGAAACAAAAAATGAGATCAAGTATTAACAGACATAATGCAAAATATTCTTGTTTAATTCATTCTCCTTTCTTTTACACTTAGAATTTACTATTTCACATTCTATTAAAACACGCAGTTAATTACTGCTTATCTTTCACTTAGTGATAATCAAGTCATTTCTATTAACATTAAAATCAAAATACTATTTTATAATAAAAAATACATTAATAATCAAACATTCAGAAATTGAATTTCAAGAAATTCAATTCTAAAGAAATTTCAGAAAAAAAAAAAACAGCCTGTGACAAACTTATTCCCTTTCCAATTGCAATGAGGTTCACATTGAACAAGAATACCTGTATCTTTACTTCCACGAAATAGTAGCAAAGGAAGGACTATTCTAGACATGCTGGCAGTCAGTCTTACAACAGCATCATTTTCTCAACAGCATTATAACATACATCCAGCAGGGAGAAATTAAGTCAATTCAACCAATCTCTGATTTAGCTACAAACTCCTCTATGCTTCTTTATCAGCTGACAGAATGAATCAGAAGCATCTTAAAAGAAAAACATAAACCAACAAACAAACAACCAACAAAGCCAAACAACACAAAAATACCAACAATACCAACAAACCAACAACAACCCTGTGGTTGTGTGAAAGGTAGGACCATTGGACTTGCATGCTTTTACTTCAAAACTACACCTATTCCATTATTTTCCTTTTCAAGCTTTGTCTGCTCTGTATCTTAGCTCTGAGTTAGCTGTTTCAGAATCACCTTACATTGTTCATTACCATCAATACCTTTCGTTTCAATATTCAGGAATACAAACACCAGAATTTCAGAAAGAGTTTAGTAATGCAAAACAGAAGAACAAATAATTAAAAAAAAGAATATATATAGACTTAATCTCAACTTTAATTCTCGGAAACCTAAAGCTTTTTCTTAAGGTGCTGAGCATGGCACAAGATTCCATCATTGTCAGCACTGAAAAAAACAACAACAACAAGAAAAAAAACAGAGATGCAAAGTCCAAAACTTTCTTTAGCACACAGTATTCTAACTTCAAGTATCAGCAACATCACTGTTGGCTTACCTGGCTTCCCCAGACCTTCTGGTATCTACTCTGCACATGTACAGAGATTAATGGGTCAAATCCTTAATGAATTTGTGGAAGTGATCCAGCCAAATTTTGAAGGATAACAGGCTTTCATAAAAAAGAGAAGATAAAAAGAGGATTAGTCTGAAATTACGTATGAATGAAAGACCACTTAAGTGTTTAAAAATGGTTATTTTTTTAACACTTGATGGGCTCTCTGTTACTGCAGAGCAGAGAAAAGCTGCTAAAAACATTTTACAGCCCAAAAAAGGCAGCAGTTCCCAAAACCATTAGAATCAATAAAGTCTGATTTTACAAAGATCCCCCAAATGAAACCCAATTCTTCCTGGTTCTTCCAAAGAACCTGACCAACACAGCTTCCTTAGCTATTCCCTCCAGTCATGTGCATGCGATACAACAGGTTTGGAGCTTACAAATGTTGTCTGGCTAACCAGAAAGACAGCAGACTAGCCAGCTGACCGCTACCCTGCAGAATAAGAGTTAATTTATAGCTTCTTTCTTATACGGGAGGAAATAATCGGAGTCTTTCCTCCCCCTACTCAGCTGCCAGTTTTCATGAAAGTTGGAGGAACTCAACATCCTTGGGACTTTAACCTATCAAATCTGGTTGAAATTTCATAGACTCACAGAAACATTAAGGTCAAAAAAGATCTCTAAGATCTCCTAGTCCCCACCAGCCCATCCCCACCATGCCCAATAACCAAGGCCCTCAGTGCCACATTCACATATTTTTAAACACCTCCAGGGACGGTGAGTCCTCCGTTCCCTGGGCAGCCTGTTCCAATTCCACTCTTTCTGAGAATTTTTCCTAATATACAACCTGAATCTCATCAGCACAATTTGAGGCCATTTCTTCTCATTCTATCACTAATTATGTAGGAAGAAAATGCCAATCTCCTCTCTACAACCTCCTTTCAGGTGTATGCAATAATCAGATATTATGTTTGAAAAGCTTCTGGAGGACAAGCACTGACACACAATGTACAGCAACAGCATACTTGTTTCCTTAGATAAACCAAAACCAGCTCCTTAAGTGGAAGCTACCTAAAGTGATTGTAGTCATTTCTTTTATAATCTTTCCATCAAAGATGGAAAATCCTTTTTTTTTTTTTTAGAAAGATCTTAAATTTCACAATCTTAGGTAGAGGGCAAAGAGACAACATTCTTCACATGCCAAGATAAAAAAAGACCAAAAAAAAAAAAAAAAAAAAAAAAAAAAAAAAGACAAAAAGAGACCAAAAAGAGACAAGCATGAGCATGCTGGCAATGCTGAAGCATAGTGGGTGAGAGGGAATTCACAGGTATGAAGGGCATTTGCAAGGCAAAGCTGAAAAACTTATTATGAAGTATGGAAAGGTAATTATTGAAAAGTTCAGAACATAACGAAGAATAAATGACAAATCTAAAGGGAAAAGAAAAAGAGGATAGATGAGACACAGAACTAAAACTGGAATGAGACAACATAAGGACAAAATGACAGAGGATCTGTAAATTGAAAAAAGGAAATTGTGCATTTAATTAAGCACTTACAAAATCCCACAACAAACAGAAGGGGGTAAAACTTAAGTAGAAACTTCTTTTATTTTTTGGAGCATAGTAGAATGTGAAGACAGATTTCATTTGCAAAATAATACCTCAATTAACCGAAAGATCCAGGGCAGTTTCAACTAAATCCAAACCATTTCTAACAAATGTTGTTGAACCTGCTTTAAAATCTCATATTGACAGTTCTTATAAAGAATCTCTGCAAAGTTAAACCAAACTCAACTATTTTCACCATTAGTCAGCTTTGCTAAAGTATAATGCAATCTTGCCTTATCTCTACGGACACAGAAAATGATTCCTTTCATCTTGTAAACAATTTATTTAACATTTGAGAAGCTTTCTCTTCCCTGTTATATGCTAAATAGATAAAATTCTTCTAACCCCTCTACCTTTATATTTTTATTGCTTTTCTGCTGCTTTCTTCCACATGTTTTTCAGCTGGTCCAGGTCCTTCCACATGTGTCCTGAAGAGGATGTGGCTTTCCAGCTGATGCCTCAGTGCTAAGAAGAAGTATTACACAATGCTTTTGGTTTCATATCCTGGAGTAACCCTCGGTTCTGTCACAACAACAGGATACTGGTTTTTGTGTTTCACACTATAAGCTACGGATCTTCTACTACCTTACCTAGAATTTTCTTCTACTAAATATAAATAATGCGCACAGAACATAGAACTTCATACTTGTTTTCACTTATTTACACCCTATTCTCTGACTTCTCCAGTCCATCTCAAATTGCAAATGATCCTGAACACTGAACAGTTCTTGCACCTCTTCTCAGCAAGGCACTGTGTCCCAGTGGGAGCATGTGGCAAGCCCCTGCGGTGCAGCTTCTCAGATCGCCTCCATTGTTCCCCAGTGCCATCAGTAACATACGGTGTGTTCCTAGCAGGACAATGCCATACTGTTTTAAAAAATAAATCTTTAAAATTAAAAAAAAAAAAAAAAAAAAGAAGAAGAAATAAGCATTTAAAATGATGCATCCATCTTGATTTGATTTTCCATCAAGTTGTATGTACTTTATTCTTTAATGTTTAGGAGGAACTTGCAGCTAAGTGGTAATTTTAGCTACTATGTATATTATATAAGTAGTTTAGTCAGAAAGATTAGGAAAAAATGTGTTGAAAATTTGGCAGGCTCACACAGTCTATTTAAAATTTAAGAAAAACGAACATAACACACTGCTAAAAGACATGAAATTGCATCTGTGCATTTTCTAGCATAAAGAGATCTTGCCAAGCTCCAGACCAAGTGCTGAGTAACCATAAAAACATTCCTTTGTTCAGATGGAGCAAGATGTGTTTCGTGGCACAGCTCAGATCTGAGAAGCTAATTAATTCTTGATGCTGCCTTGTTTAAAAAATAAAATTAATAGAAAATCTTGTTAAAAACAAAATAGAACATTATTTTTAATTATACATTTTCAGGCGGCTGTTTTATAAACATTCAAAAGGAAAGGCTAACATACACATTTCAACAGAGCTACATTAAGAGCACATTTCTGTTCTGGTTCCTTAGAAGATGACAGATCCCTCAGTCAAAGTTTTACACGACAAAAAAAAAAGAGAAGACTGATACCTAAGGAATCAACAGTACCCCAAAGCTGAATGGAAGTGCTGTTTTCTCAAGCTCATGCTTCCTTATTATCTACCTTCCAGAGTGACACATCCTGAATCGTAAATCTTTTTACCCATGAAATGTGACCGTTAACTTTACTCATTGCTTGTGCTCTACGATTCAGTAATTAAACTTAAATTTTCAGACAAAGCTAAAAATACAGAGTAAAATGAATTAAATATTAAAAAAAAATTA